CTCCTTCAAGGTCCGTCTCAAGGCCTTCCTCTTTGACCGTGCCTTTGGCAATCTTCCCACTCTCACCCACCTTGCCCCCCTCATCCCTGCTTTTCTCTTGCCCATCCAGTTTTCGATCCACCTGACTGATTTACGCTACACACACACACCCCCCACAACACCCCCACACCTCCAAAAAAGGGGAGTTTCAACTTCTTAGGGCACTTACCCAATTCTTTCTGAAAATAATTAGAGTTCAGCAAACCCCAGGGGGAAACAAACAAAGAAATGCATCAATGGGGAAGAAATGGGGAAGAAAAAATAATAATAATAAAAAATTATTTTTAATAATTTGGTTTTCTCGAGACGTCTCAAAGCGCTTCACAGAATATACTGTAAAATGAATTGAATGTATATTTTTGGGGTAAAATGTGACAGCCAATTGCGCACAGAAAAACGCACAGTGGGGAGAAAGATGCTTTTCAATGATTGTTTACACCCGACGTAAGCAGTTGCCTTGAATGATTTCTAATAACATCATTAAAATCACCGAGGCCAGAAATACAAACTCCGCCGCTCAACGCCAGTAAATTAACAGCTCATCAGGGACCCTGATGAGATCGCAGCGATGGGAGATTCTTTCTTCCCTCTATTACTCTGCCTGAGAAAGTATTCCAAGTATTTTCCAGCTGGCTGAGTGGACAGTGACGGATTAGACACAGAACCACAGGTGGGAGGTTGGACCTTTTCCCCACACCACACTCGGCGGTGATAAATCAGGGTAACAAAGTTTACAAAGCCTGCTGCTTCAACTCCCAGCGATTTTTAGTGTTGTTAATGTTAGCAGAAACTTGTCTCCACCGTCCGACCGTTTGCAAAATTGACTCCACTGGAGTATCAGCCCCGATTTGTGAGCTCAAAGTCTCAACGTGGGTCTTGAACCCACAATCCTCTGACTCAGTGTTGGAAGTGTTAACAACTGAGCCAGGCTGAGGAATCCCTTTGGACGCTGCTTAACGTTAGACCCCCCCCAACAATAATACTAATAATCCTTGCATATGATTGTTGAGACGTCTCAAAGCACTTCACAGAATATCTTGTAAAGTGGATTAAAGTGGATTTGTGGGCGAAACGCGATAGCGAATGGCACAAACAGTCGTGGAATGGGTGACCATTTTGTTTTTTTGGAGGGATCCACATTGAATGCCCCGTTTCGCCCATAAAATATACAGCCAATTCACATTACTGTTTGTTCTGTGAAGCGCTTTGAGACGTCTCGAACACGTGATAAGGAGCTATATCAAATACAAGGATTATTATTATCATCGTTATTTTAACAACCGGGTTGCTACTTACTGCTCGTTAAACAAAGGCATGTGGAGTAAGGAAACTTGCCGAAGGTTTCTCCCCAGGGCTTGAAGAATTTCAAAAGAGTTCTCTTCATCCTGGAAGACCGGCGATCTCCTCAGACACAATTTTTATTGTAAAGGTCTGTCCAGGTGGGAACGCAGCGCTGAGGATGATGCTTCACAGTTACCGTAATCATTCTGCTTCCCTGGGGGCCAATGTGTGACCTTCAACGAGCAATTGATCACCAGATAAATGTCAGCCCTCCAATGTGCAAGCAACAGATATCAGTCTAGGACAATTGTCCGTTTACAGTTTAACTCAAAAGCATTTCCCTGTTTGACACTGAGTGGCACCGCCATGTGACACCTCATTGGAAAACTATACAAACATCAGAAGTGGCCTTATCATGAATATCCTCTTACACGGATGTCACTGCTAAAGCAGTTTGCTGTAGGTTTCACCCACATCAAGCCGGGAATTCATCCTTTGTGCTCACACAGAGAAAGACAGAGACACACTTCGCAGGTGAGTAAAATATCAAATCTCGTCCCACACAGGGAAATTGTAGAACTGAGAAAGACATTAGAAAGCCCTTCAATTAGTTAATTGGCTCATTACATAATCTAACGATCTGCATGTATTTGGCACAGTTAGCCCTGTAGTTAATCCACTGTTAGCTCACTTTTAGCCCATAGTTATCCCATTGCAAACTCACTGTTTGCCCAACGCAGATTTCAGTCCCAGCTTTTGGGATTTCAATTGGCAATGAATCAAATACTTTTGCTTCCATTAAATTGGCCTATCATTTGAAACATTAATGCTGAGTAAGGGCTTCTCAAATTGGGGGGTGGGAGAATGTGAAGCGAGTTGACTGAAGGTGTATTCATAGAGGAAGGTTTCCAGAAGGGCTTTGAAATCAACGAGGAAGGGTGCGTAAGGGATTTGAGAGCATTCCACAGAGCAGAGGGAATAGTGACTGAAAGCTCGACCAAAAAATAGTCACTACACTTGGACCATGATTATCTGTGAAGCACTTTGAGATGGAGCCACATGATGAAGCGCTTATGGAAACTCAGATTTCTTAGGGATAGGGTTAATTTTGGTATCGCAAACAATTAAAATAAATCTGTAGAATGTTTACTTCGCAAGCTCTCCGTTGCTAAGTATTTTTTCCGGCTCTGTGTGTCTTTGGGTCGACTGTTTATCTGAGGAAAATAAAAGCTCTCTGTGATGTGATGAGTGTCTGTGGGCTGAGATGTTCATTAATTTTAAACTTATCCCACTCACCATCACAGACTCCTGCAGCGGAAAATACAGCTGCCGGAGTAATTAGTGGGAGATTAGACAAGTTTAAAATTGATTTGGAAAAGATGGATCTTCATCGTGTCAAGTGCTTCCCAAGTATTTCAGATCAAGTGGAACAGATTGTTTTAAAGGCAAATAGGACAGTAATTTCACAGGCAGCAAAAGAGGAGAACAATCAATTAATTTATCTGGAGAATTGTCGGCCGGCACATTAGGAGAAATCTCCTTCCCTTGGTCTTTTATGTTCTCCCTTCCTCTCCCCCCACACCACATACGCACACACACACGGAGGCAGAATGCTAAAAGATTTTTTGCTAATTGTTGAAATTCAGCCTTATCTTTGAAGCCAGTTTTCTGTGATTTCTTAAGGTGCAATACACAAGAGAAACCAAATCAAAATGGTGCTGGCATTTAAGAATTGTCCACAATTCTGCCCCAATCTTCAATTTTAAGACCAAATGGGCTAAATCGAGGCAGAATTTAACCGCAAATGCTCTGGGCCGCTACCCTGAGTGAGGGCAGCTGTATCAATGCAAGTTGTTGTGGTTGTGTAGAATATCAGTGTGTGATGCATTGCCAAGTGATGGCACACCAATCCCCTGTAGATGTCACCCCCCACCCCAGTCTATCAGTGCCCACCCCTGCCCTCACCTGCGAGCACCTTCCAGCGGGTATCAGTGGAGGGTGATCGGGGAATAGGTATCGCGGCTGATTTGATTCATCACGAGAGTCCGTCAAGTGACAATGAAAAGAGACACAAGTGCATCTTCCAGGTCTAAATAGTAATGTCCCTCTGGTGCGTCTTACTGGGCATCAGACTTGCATTTCTTCTCCAACAGTCCATCCCAATTTGCCCCCACTCTCTGGCGCTCCTTCAGTAATCTTCTCGAGCCCTTCTTCTTCGACATTGCCTTCCCATCATCTTTCTTCTCCACTCCCTTGGTTTCCGAACCCCTCTCAAATCCAACTCCCCAGCTCGGGTGCAAACCCCCGACCTTCCAGCGCCTTGGGACAATGTGAAGCTCACCACATAAATGCAATTTGTTGTTGTTGTTGTCTCTGAGAGCGAACTAGAGGTCAGCAGTCATCTCAGCTGCTATAAGGACTATGGTGCCTGTTTGCCCCAATCTCACCACCGCCCTGTTCAGTCCTTTGCAAAGCAACTGTGCGAATATACCTCTGTGTCTGTGTGGGGGTATTTTTATATGCTGTGTATTTTTATATATAAAACGTTTATAAATTAAAATATTCTTATGGGCAGAGGAACAATGGGACGGTTCAAGTTATATCGAATGCTTATTTATTAATATGGTTAATAATAAATAAGCATTTACAATACATACTTAAGATTAATTCATAATAATACTGTTTTTTCCTTATTAATAACTCACAATCCACAGTCACTGATGGACAAATCGAGGTGTTGCCTTTTATCCACGTGGCCTTTTGACGTGAGTTAAATTATCACATTTTAAAAAGGAATCACCATTCGGCAGAGAGAGGGAAAGAGAGAAAGAAAGAGAGAGGGAGGGAGAGAAAGAGAGAGAGGGGGAGAAAGAGAGAGAGAGGGAGACTGGAACTCAGAGAGAGAGAGGAGGAGGAGGAATAGGGAGAGAGAAAGAGACAGAGAGAGAAATACACACACAGACACAGACAGAGAGAGTCATACGAAGACAGACAGAGACACACACACACACACACACACAGAGAACAAGATAGAGAGACAGAGATAGAGAGACACACCAGACAGACAGAGGGAGTCACACACACACACAGACACACAGACAGATACAAAGACAGAGAGAGACATACACATAGAGACAGACAGACACATACAGACAGAGGTAGACACAGACAGAGAAAGACACACACACACACACGAAGATAGAGCCAGACAGAAACACAGACAGACAGAGATACAGAGAGGTACACACAGACAGACAGAGACAGAGACACACAGCCAGACAGAGACACACAGAGAGACAGAGACACAGACAGATAGAGAGAAACACATACACAGAGAGATAGAGACAGAGAGACACACAGAGAGACAGAGACACAGACGGACAGAGAGACAGAGATACAGACAGAGAGAGAGACACACACAGACAGACAGAGACAGACAGACAGAGACACAGACAGAGACACAGACAGAGACACAGACAGAGACACAGACAGAGACACAGACAGAGACACAGAGAGGATGGAGCTGTTCTCCACACCTGGTGCTGAAACCCACTCGGATTTGCTGCTCAACTCCTCGGATGGCGACTTCCCATCGTCGCCTTCGGGATTCAACGGGAGTGTGAACGGCAGCTCCGAGCCCTTCCCGGTGAGAAGCTTCACCTCCACGGCCATCGCCATCGCCATCACCGCCCTGTATTCCGTGGTGTCGGTGCTGGGGCTGATCGGCAACTTCCTGGTCATGTACCTGATAGTCAGGTAAGGACATCCAAGAATTTGCCAGGCAATTAAACAAAAAAAAAGCGCCAAAGGTTCCATCCAATTCATCCTGGTAGTCGCTTGCACACGTCCTGTCGCTAAACTAAATCATATTATCATTCTATTTATATGTATTGTATCCCGAGATATGATTTCCTAACTTGAATCGCTCCAATTCAGGTAAGAGACGAGCGAGCGAGCGACTGATGAGTGAGTGAGCGACTGATGAGTGAGTGAGCAAGTGATGAGTGAGTGAGTCGGTGATGAGTGAGTGAGTGAGTGAGTGAGTCAGTGGAGGATTATTACTACTACTATTATTATTATTTGTGTTGTTATTGTTTTGCTGTTATTATTAAGAGACGAGAGAGTGGTGACGTCAATTTGCGTTCCCGAAAATCTGGAGGTGGGGAATCAATCGATCGATCGATCGATCACTCAATCAATTAATCAATCAATCAATCAATCAATCTTCTTACTCGGCTTCTGTTACCCCCCCCCACCCCACCTCCCACCCACAAGCCACAGCCCGAATGGGTAGGGTGGTCCGAGCTGGACAAGCAGCGGGAAAGCTGACCAGACAGCAATATCGATGGCAAAGTGATGTGGTTTTAGCTGGTTAGACCCCAACACACGCTCTGAGCCCATCCCCTCCCCCCCCCTCCCACTCCCCAAGCCTTGGCTCTCACCAACCTCCGCCTAATACTTTCTGGAATTAGGTAAGCAGGATGTGTCTCTCCAGGGAGAGAGAGAGAGAGAGTGCGCAATCCATTCCATTCCAACAATCTATCTCTGGAATTTCAGTGTGACGTTGGGATGCATGGAATTCTCAGTTTGGGATATTCTTATAAGCACGTAGCTGACCCCCATAAAAAATGCTTTGTTTCCCCCCCCCCCCCCACCCCCCAAATCCCCCACTCCCCTGGGGTTAACCTTTCCAGCCCTTCTTAAATCTGCGACCGAACTTCTGCCCCTATCTCTCCCGCCCTCGTCCCATCTTCACAAGCGCCTGAGAACGCTGCCCAGTGAGAGTGGATTAAAATTTAAGATGCTGTTTTATTTATTTAAAAAAATGATGAAGTCACCCCCCCCCCCCCACGCTCCGTCATTCTTTTTAGTTGTTTTGTGTATTTTAATAGAAAAGTGTTTTATATTATACTTTTTTTAAAAAAATGCTATTTAGCTTTTAAGGGAAGGGAGGGGGAGAGGGCAGCGGATTGTTATTTAAGGCTTTGCCTCTTGTGATTTCGTTGCTAAAGCAGCTCTGTAAGGCACAGGGATTTTCTCTCCCCGGTGTCCTGGTTAACAATCCCCCCAAATATAATCGCTCATTCACTCTATGACTGTTCGTGGGAGTATACAGTCAATCCATTTCACAGTACACCCTGTGAAACGCTTTGAGACGTCTCAAGAATGTGATAAGGCGCTATATTAAATGCAAGGATTATTATTATTAATTTATAATATGCAGTACTATACTCAGTGATTCAGGCTGGCTGCTTGTGTGAGCTGAAAGGCAGCTCTTTGGAACTCCCCGTCTCTACCTTCGAAAGGTGCTGCATACAAATATAAATTGTTGTCGTCGAAACTGATTCCCGTTTCATGTTTCATGCAAAAAAAAACACCACAAGTCTGTGTTTTTATTTGATTAAAAAAAAACTCGTACCCGCCCTCTCTCACATTAGTCAGTGCTCCCATTATTGCTGGGAGAAAAAGCTCTCAAAAGCAACCATTCCTCTTAGTTCGCTCTGTTTTGAAGTAAGTATTGGCTGTTTGTGTCTGCCTCGCCCGGTGTTTGGAAAAAATGTAGGACCCGGGAAGGCTGGGAGGAGGGGCAAAGTTATTGCAAGTAAGTAATGCTGTGTATTAAGAGGACGAAATTGAGATAAATCACTCTGCCAGTCTACGCTAGTCCACAAAGTGCACTGCCTTGAGGTCCTGATCTTCATTAACTTCACCAATGCAGAGTTAAAGAGATTAATCGGTCAGCTTCTCGGGTTTCTTTTGTTTGCTTTATTCAAAAATCGATTGAGTAAAAATCTGAAACTCAGTCCTGTTGTGTCTCTGAAGCTCACGGTGTTAATTAACAGCCCACAAAATGCACAGTCACTACACTTTACGGTATATTCTGTGAAGTGTTTTGAGATGTCTGAACTACGTGATAAGGTGCTATATCAAATGCAAGTGTTATTATTGTTATTATTATAATAATATAGTGCCCCTAAAGCATCTCAGAATAGAATCTCACAGGGCAATAGCACAATCACAGGGTAATAACACTGATCAATAATAATAATGATAATTCTAGCCTCTAAATTCTCCCCACTATCACAACTTCTCCCCGCTCCGCAGCCCCCCCAAACCCCAAATCAAAATAGGTTGAACCATGACAAAGAGCCCTTGTATTAAATAGCGTAATACGTAATTAAATAGCGTTGGGGAAACCAAAACTGGCTGGAAAACGGATTTCCTTTCTTATCCGCTGCCTACAATCTCCCTGAAGATGGTGCAGAACTGTGGAGAAATTCTTAAATTCTATCTCGCTTTGGTAGCTAGTCGTTTTTCAGCACTGCAGATATTTCCCACCGTACGTTTTTAATACAAATTGGTCTTTTTACAGGCTAAGAGGAGCTGGAAGTCTGAGCCTTTTTAAAACAAAGTTTATGATTGGCAGATTAGAAATGTGGAGTTTGACAGCAGATTGAATTTTCTGAGGTTGTAAAACTAACTTGAAATCTGTACCTGGAAGAAAATTGATGGCAGTGCCAGCCTGACCTGATGAAAGCAGCATAAGATGCCCTATCAGGCTTCACCCACAAACACACAATCAATCCACTTTACAGTAAATCCCGTGAAGGTCTTTGAGATGTCTCAACGACGTGATAAGACGCTGTATCAAATGTAAGAATGATTATGATTATCATTAATATAATTATATACACAGACCAGAAGATGGCAGGGTCCCTGGTGTGTGTTACGTTACCTTACCTTGAGCCAAGATGGCCTCGGTAATTGGCCACAATTGGTGTTAGCTCATGCTTATGGCTCTGTAACAAGAGGTTCTTGAGCTGTAACTTGCCATGGTTCTATGACTTTAACTGTACGACTTTTGCTCGATTTACAGATACACCAAAATGAAGACGGCCACTAATATTTACATATTCAACCTGGCTCTAGCGGACGCTTTGGCCACAAGCACCCTGCCCTTCCAGAGCGCCAAGTACCTGATGGAAACCTGGCCGTTTGGGGAGCTGCTGTGCAAGACGGTGATGTCCATCGACTACTACAACATGTTCACCAGCATCTTCACGCTCACTATGATGAGCGTCGATCGCTACATTGCTGTCTGCCACCCCATCAAGGCTCTGGATTTCCGCACCCCCTTGAAAGCCAAGATCATCAACGTGTGCGTGTGGATCCTTTCGTCTGCCGTTGGCGTCCCAGTCATGGTTATGGCGGTCACAAAGAACGAAGAACACGGTGAGTCCCTCAACCACAACCACCCTTTGTAAACAGAGTTGGTTAAATAATAATAATAGTCCTCGCATTCGATACAGCGCCTTATCGCGTCATTGAGACGTCTCAAAGTGCTTCGTAGAATATATTGTGAAGTGGATTGATTGTATTTTGTGGACGAAACGTGGCAGCCAATTCCGCCCAGCAATGTCCTACAAACAGTCACAAATTTTTCTGAGGGATTGGCTGGAGAGCAAACTGCCAATCGATTAACAACCGGGTTCCTACTCACTGCGAGGTAAACAGAGGAGTGTAATAAAGAACAGGAGGTGGGATTAGAGGAGACAGCTCCAGGGGAGGAGTGAGCACCAGCATTCACACAAGGAGGAAAGAGAAGGGGAATGAGATTAGAGAGCTCCGTGCTTTAAATTTGGTAAAATTCCAATCAGAGGCCAATCACTGCTGCAGAAGGTCGTAGGTACAGAAGATGGGACTTACCATATTAAGGGATATGGAGAAAAGGAGAGGGAACTATGCTTAATATTTATGTAGGTATAAACTTTGATTTATATATATATTTATGCTCCTAGTATTCAATATTTTGGAGAATAAACATTAAAGATCACAACTACTTCTCCTGAGCTGTGAATGGGCAATTTTAATAATAATAACCCTTGCATTTGAAGCACCTTATCTTCGAGACGTCTCAAAGCCCTTCACAGAATATGCTGTAAAGTTAATTGACTATATTTTGTGGGCGAATTTTATTTGAAGCATTGCTGGCCAGGATACCGGAAGAAACTCCTGAAGTTTTTTTTTACAACACAAAGCAGACTTTTTTTTAATTAACATATATATGTGTACATGCCTTTCACCTCGCCCACCCAGGTAAAGTGAGCTGCATTCTCAAGTTCCCTGGGCCCACTCGGTACTGGAACAACGTCACCAAGATCTGCGTCTTCATCTTTGCCTTCGTGGTGCCCGTTCTGGTCATCACCATCTGCTACGGGCTGATGATCATGCGGCTGAAGAGCGTGCGTCTCCTGTCGGGCTCAAAAGAGAAGGACCGCAACCTGCGGAGGATCACCAGGATGGTCCTGGTGGTGGTGGCCATCTTCATCATCTGCTGGACCCCCATCCACATCTTCGTCATCATCAAGACCCTGGTGAAGATCAATCCCACTCCCCTGGTCACGGCCAGCTGGCATTTCTGCATCGCGCTGGGCTACACCAACAGCTGCCTGAACCCAGTGCTCTACGCTTTCCTGGACGAGAATTTCAAGAGGTGCTTCAGGGAGTTCTGCCTGCCCCTGCGCTCCAGGCTGGAGCAGAACAGCTTCACCCGGGCCAAGAACGCCACGAGGGACTCCGTGTGTGCCTGCACCCCCTCCGAAATGGTCAACAATCCCGTATGACTAGGCGTGGACAGACGCAAGGCTGCGTCGCACTTTAGGAGAGGGCAGGAGCTCAACTCTGAAGTGACTCAGATCACGACCGAATTCTAATTCGCAGTCTTTAAATTTGGCTTTCGGAGAACTTTTGCCCAAAAAAGGACTCGTTCACCAGGAGTTTCCCCCAAACCGTACGAATCACACGCGCACGTTGGCTGTCACGTCGACAGGAAGGGAAGCGATTGCTCATCGCTGTGATGATCTGCTTAACTAGGAATCTTTTGACCTGCTTTAGGGGGAGTGGGGTGGGGGTGGGGGTGGTGGGGGGAGTGGAGGGGGAGGATTTCCTGATTCCAATAAGGTTTTGCACAATGCCGCATCCTTTCCACAATTAGGAATGAATATGCTCACGGGACAAAATGCAGATTTAAAACTTGACTACGGTGCACTATTCACATCGCCTATTCCCGCAGCACTTTGCTGTGTGTGGTACGAAATGTTTGACTCGCACTATCCCATCTTTTTGTAAGCGAGATTTCAAAGAGTTTCTGGCTCTCGTGGTGAAAAGTGTCAGACGTTTCTGTGCTATGATCAGTGAACAGCCTTCCAAGATCACTGCGGTATTAGGATATTCCTTGCATTTGATACAGCCGGTGGAACGGCTCAAAGTGCTTCACCCGGGAATCGCTATCAGGATCTGGCGACATCCTATACTTAATCATAATAATCCTTGCATTTGATATGGAGCCTTATCACTTCGTTGAGACGAGGCAAAGCACTTCACAGAATATGCTGTAAAGTGACAATCAAATTTGATTTGGGTGGCTGATTCACTTCGGCCACAGAGCGAGATGGAACCATCAAACAAACCCGAACGGAAGTGAAGTCTTTTACTCGAGTACGACCTCGCCGGACCCAAAACTGACTCTCCGATATCGAATAGCTCGTGCAGATGCTGAGGTTTCAACTTATTTTTAAATGCATAATCGCTGTAAGACTTGCGGTGAATATGACGTTCAGAGTGGTCCACTGCGCCCAAGCTCCGTCTTTAGATGAAAACGCTTTTCTCTGCATGTTTTTTTTTTAACCCGTTCCAAACCAGAAACTTGCATCAATTGCCATTGTCTCGAGGACTGCTGCCACCTCATGGAAACAGATGGATTCTGCTGAACGCAATAATAGAAGGAAATAATAGTGGCATTGCCCTCAGAGCGATCTGCCTTGCACCACTCTTCCCTCTAGTGGAAGTTTTCCAAAACAGAGACATAGTTTTACAGTAAGAGCTAACACAGTTGGAAGTGAGATCAGCAAACATTTTTTTCAGAGGGATGTGAGAGCCCACCACCCTTCACATAAGGGGTAAAAATCTTTACAAAGATGGAGTAGGATGGAGGAAATCAACTGGCGAGGCAGACTCAATTGGCTGCATACAATACAATACAAAATTACATTTGTATAGCGCCTTTCACGTCGGGATGACGTCCCAAGATGCTGAATGTCCTCCTCCTGTTCGTGTATTTGTTCAAGGTGAATTTTAACAGAACGCTACACCTGTGATCACAGTTTGTCAGGAGCAATAGTTTTACTACTCATCGGGGAGGATGCAAGGCTAGAGTTGGATCAATTTTAAAAATGATGAGAAGAGCTTTCAACTCATGTAAAATATTTCAATACGCTCAGTTTTATAGTCTACCTAGGCTCTGTGTATGAATAATGGTCTCTCTTTATAGCCTTTGGTTTTAAAGTAAGTAATAACGTCTCTGACAGAACAGTCATGTTTGATAGTTAACAGACGGAGCTTGGCTTCGCTATAGTAGTTGACGTCCTGTCATTTCCTCTCAAACCCCAACCTTGGATACAACGCTCCCAAGAGGCATCTTTGTGTATATTTATTGCAGTTCAGGGTTTTTTTCCCCCCTGAGGAGTAAGTTCTGAAGATGCTTCACAGTACTTGATGTGAATCACTGCAAACGAGCCCAACCTGACTCCTATTTTACAGTTGAACAGGTTTAACGGCACAGACTAATAGCCAACGGGCACGGCTCCATGAAGAAATATGAGAACACTTATAAAATCAGGAATGGCACTTGCTGCTGCTGGATTCAGTCAACTCTCCATCAATGCCTGGATAATCTCCAGGACAGCCTTACAGTAGGTGGAAGTGTGAGGGCATCAAACCCTGTCCTCAGCTAGTTAGGGATGGAGGGAGGACAGTCACTGGATTGCCCTCAGGCTCCCTGAAATTCCACTTGATCTTAGTTTGGAAGGATGCAGAAATATTTATTTGTTTTATGTTTGACCTGAATTTGACATCCAGTTTTTCCATAGTTCTTAGAAAAAGACCAACTTCCAAATTAACCCCGAGTTCAGAATCTCGGGCAATTTAAATGAAGTTGAGATCTCCAAAAGTGTTCTCGGAGCCTAAGGCTGGGTGGAATTTCAGGCTTCTTGAATGCGCACGCGCACACGTAACTGGTACAGGTTCACTCACACCACGAGGTCTTGCCTCAGTTCACACTGCAATGTAGCGCTGCTGACCTGGTGCAAAAGAGGTATTTTCCTCTCCTTGTCCTTGGCCAAGTGGCACCAAGGTCAGTTACACAGTGAACACAGACTGAGATTCAGAGCTGAAGCCACACAGATCAACTCTGCGCTGGGAGTTTGAAGAGCAGCAAGTATCAGCTTCATACAATAAATAGAGCAAGGCATCAAGTTGTGAATTTGATAATTAGGGAGTGGGGGGGAGGAGGGTTATTTTCTGCTTTGGTATGAATTAGATTTTCTTGAAGTAACTGTGAGCTGCATTGCAGTAAATTCCTGTTCACTGCACTCTGCTATGTAAGTTGTGTATGTAAAATAAATCTCTTTTCCCTTTCCTTAATGTGCCTGAATGGTGCTTTTACGTTTCAATGAAATGGTCTCGATCTGCACAGAACCAGTGTGTAGCCACATGACGTGTAGACCTTTCCACACAGGTGACTAAATCTTTCACGAACGCAATGAAAGACACCTCCTGTCATAACTGCACATTCTCTACCAATGTTGTCTTAAAAAAAATGAATCATCAAAAACTCTTATTCGTAAAGGACTTGATTCACCCAGTGTATAAAAAGAGAAGCACACAGGACAAAACCCTCAGTCTCGGTCGGTTGGAATGACTGCAAGACACCAAAAAAACCTTATTTAATAAACTATCACAAAAAGTATTTATTTGATTTTAAAAGAATATGCTTTTTTTTCTCCTTTCTCTAAATGTTATCCCTCCCCATGCATTTCCCCCCCTGCCCAAGCACCCCCACCCCCAACCCCAATCCCGAGGGGGTGGGAGATACACTGCCCTGTGCTACAGAGCACCAGTCGCCTCTCACACACGCGCACAGTGAGCGACTGATTTCAACGCCCCCGTACCGATCGGAAGAGCAAAAAAATTACAATTATAAGAACAACATTAGTATTAAATAAAACAGGGAGTTGCCATTCAGGAGGCAGGTAAGCCTTAATCTTCCAGTCGGCTTGCTGCTCCTAATACAATGTCCCTTCGCAGCCTTTCACCTGAGAGCGAGAATAAGACGGAGGGAGTGTTGTATCCCGGCTCAGTCACGAGGCCGAAACTTGGGACGGCCGTAAATAGAACTGAACAGTTGGGCGAGGGAGGTTCTGCTGGGGTGGATGGGGGAGGAAGAGGGAAGATAGGAAAGGGGGCACAGGTGAAGGGAAAGCAGAGGTCCCAATGCCAACCCCCCACCCCTCTCTCGCATCCAGCCCCTTCCCCCCACCCACCCCCTCACTCCCCCAGCCCATGTAAACGAGCACCACGACTCTACAGCATCGAACATTCAAAATTAAATCTGGAGCAACACAACGTGGGGACAAAGCTGAAATGTTCGTGCTCATTAATACAACAAAATGAATTAACTCTACTGGCGAAGAAAATAAAATCATCTGAACAGGAGGGCGGGGCGGGAGGGAATGGGGGGGAGAAATAACGTCAGAAAATTTACATACGAGGATCAATTTGTATTCCAAACCCAATTAGAAGACAAATGCTTTCCCCCTTTGCAATAGCTGAGCTTTGAGTTACGGAGCTGAAAAGGCACAAGGCTCAGTCTCTGGTGGTTTTGGCAACAGCATGTCAGGTGGCCTCACGTTATCAGCTGTGTTGCTTTTCTTGAACAAGCAGCACAGTGTGTTGGCCCCCGCTGGAGATGGACAGCACTTCCCTGCTCGCCAGTTGCTGGCCTGACATTTCGATTGGGCTCCACACGTCCTCCTCCTCACTTGTACTCAGCTGGAAGTTTGTTCCCATCCCCCAGGCGTAGGCCTGCCCTAAAGGTAGATAGATGCACAATATTAATAATAATGCTCCTTTATTTGATGTAGTGCCTTATCATGTCGCTGATACGTCTCAAAGTGAAAATTCTATTCACAGAATATACTGCAACATGGATTAACTGTGTATTTTGTGGATATCGTGGATTGAGAGACCACACTGTTTTTTGAGGGATTCTTACTACAGAAAAATGATCTGCTAATCGACTGACAACTAGGTTCCTACTTACTGCTAGGTAAACAGAGGCGTGTGGAGTAAAAAAACTTGCCGAAGGGTTCGCGCTGCCCGGGAATCGAACTTGGGTCGTCTCCGGTTCTCGCGAGGCAAGTGCACTAACCACTACCCTACAGGACTCAATGCTTATTAGGCTTTGGAACGTCTGACTAAATGCAGTGATTGAAGCAGAATCTGTAATAGCTATTAGTGGGAATTGGATACACTTGAAATCAGAATATCAAAAAGTGCGCGGGAAAGGGGCAGAGCAGACTGAACAGAGAAGACAGTCAGAGAGGCACAGCCACAATGGGCTGAATAGCCTCCTTCTAAAATTCTAGGATTTTGCGTACAATCTCAGTAATGGATGGGGACGTTGTTGGGAGACTGCCAAGCACTTGTCTGTCCCCGCTGATGTGTGCAGCCAAGTGCATTTTGCACTTGCTGTCAAAGCAACAAAAGGCTCATTGTATCTGCAGTGGCCAACTCACAAACCTCATGCTCCCACCCACTCCCCCGAGTGCACTGGTTCATTCCTGGTTGATCAGGGACACTTCAACAGGTGCAAAAGTGTAGGAGAGAGACAAGCACAGGCTAAGCAACGCTAAGGAAGGAAAGAGAGATACCATGCTGGATATCTAAAGTATGAATACAGGTCTCACATTGTTCTACCTCTTAAGAGATTATCGTACAAAGAAGAAAGGATGGGAGAAACCAGAGGGGCTAAGATCAAAGGGTGATCAGAAATAAATTGTTCGATTTCACCACCTTGAAAGCCACATTCCTGAGCCTACCCGGCGCTGAAATGGTTACAATCTGCATTGAGTCTCGCCAGCTTTAATTCCCCACCCCGCCCCTCCCCAGATATACTTTGCGGTTAAGAGAATTCACAGCAATACTAATAATTCTTGCATTTGATATAGCGCCTTATCACATCTTCGAGACGTCTCAAAGCTCTCACAGCTACGAATGGAGGCAGGTTCCCTTACCATCCTTAGTGACAGCGTAACTAACGGCAGTCCCACAACACACTGACTTCACGTCAGACAGACCAGGGACGAGGGATGGCTTGCTCCTCTCAGTGGTGTCCTCTCCCAAGCCCAGCCGGCCGTACTCCGATCGCCCCAGACTGTACACGTTGCCTTGTGGGAAAGAGGAAAAGTTTGAGGCTTCCTTACACTGAGGTGAAAAAATAAAAACCTCTTCACAGGCAAACGGTTTTGTGCAGAACAACTAAATATTCACAAACTCCGAGGGAGCAGTTTCTATGCACGACAATGTAGCTTTTAACGCATTCCACCCCAAATTCACTCTTTGATGCTTGTGACGTTCTCCATCTCTCTATCTCTCTGGCTAAGGTTCCCTCTCCCTCCTTACAACCTCCTTACTACCACTCCATCATGTGCCACCTCGATCCACCTTCCCCAAATTTTCAGCCCCCTGAACGTAAAAGGCACAAGAAACCCACTTCCAGAATTCACTCAGCAGGAAATAAACCCAGCAGCCAGACTCCGCCATTTAAGAATTAAACTTAAAACTTCTATCAGATCCTGTCTTCTCTGAGCAAATCCCTACCAAATGCTGTCGGTCGTTAGGACATCATAGGATTATATTCATTTACGCTGTTTTACAAAGTCCTTCGCTATGAACCGGGTTCAGATTTCCTTAAAAACTGACCTTCTGAGTCCAAGCAGATTGTATGATGTAAGCCACCAGAGAATTTGACCCAAGACTTTGCAGAGTTCTTGAATGCTGTCAGCTTCTGGGCTACAAAGCAGAGTGTTGGGCTTGGTGTTCCTGTAACAGCAAAACATACCTCAGCCCACTTGAATTCAAACACTCATTATCACCTCACCCAGTTTGGGGTCCGATATTGGGATATAGACAGTGAACAACAGCTGCAACAGTATACCAGTGGGATCGCAGGGGCCACTTGATAACCCAGCAATATTATTACACGCTGCTGCATGCGCGTTTCACCCACAAAATACACAATCAATCCACTTTACAGTATATTCTGTGAAGCGCATTGAGACGTCTCAACGACGTGATAAGGCGTTATATCAAATGCAAGTCACTCGGCTGAGCTCCCAGATGTTCTAGTGGGTAAAGGCACTGGCTCAAGGCTGCACTGGATGCCGTGTGAGGCAACTGGTCTCAGCCTGGGCTTTAGAACAGGCCTCAGAGCTATGGGTTAAGGAACTCTTGATCCAGAGGGCTGGCTGGGTGGAAGGTGCGCTGTGTATATGGACATCAGGCAGGCGAGGGCAGCTTTGGGCTTGCCTTTACTGCCTCCCGCACATGCCACCCCTGAAGCTTAAACATGGGTATCTCAGAGTGCTTTACAGTTGAGGATCTCGGGACCGAGCCAGGGGGAGAGGTGGTGGGGGCGGGGAAGGTGACCAAAGGCGCGGTCGAAAAGAAAGGTCTTCAGCAGAAACCTGAAAATGGCAAGGGAGGGAGCGAGGTGAAGGGAGTGAGGAAGGCAGTTCCAGAGCCTTGGGGCATAGTGCCTGAAGGCACGGCCGCCGAGGGTGGACTGGAGGACTCGGGGGACGAGGAGGCCAGACCCGGAGGAATGAAGGCAACGGGTACTGTTTTGAGGAGAGGAGGTCAGAGAGGTAGAGGGGTGCAGAGGCGTGCAGGGCCTTGAATATACAAGGGTGAGGATCTTGAAATCGATCCTCTCTGGGATAGGGAGCCAGTGCAGTCTGACAAGGACTGGGGTGATCGGGGAGTGGAGTTTGGTGCAGGTGAGAATGCGGGCGGCAGAGTTTTCAATGATTTGGCTTTTATGGATGGTAGTGGATGGGAGACCGGCGAGGAGGGCGTTGGAGTAGTCCAGCCGAGAGGTGACAAAGGCATGGAAAAAAAGTCATAAACCTGGGGGCGGTGTGGAAGAATGAAAATAAAACAAATGCAATTCTCTACGTTGCTCGTGGAGCTGACGGATTAGTGCTTACCCAACTGGTGGTAGTTCGAGAGCCCGAAACCGTACACGTGTCCTTCCTTTGAGATGGCGAATGTCAAATAAGCTCCACAGAAAACATCCCGAAATGTCACCCGTCCGCCACCTTTGGCTCTCAGGTACAGGCTTTTTGGAATCAGGAGACGGTCTAGGAGGAAGGGATGGAGGGATTACACTCAGTTCACTGGCAGAGGCAACAATGGATTGCAAGGGTGTCCTGACACTCTGAGCACCTTCGCATTCAGACAATAATAAATTGTTCACTCAATCCACAATTGTTTGCGGGACACCACTCTGCGCAATTGTCTGCCGTGTTTCGCCCACAAATATACAGTCAATTCACTCTACAGTATATTCTGTGAAGCGCTTTGAGATGTCTCGAGGAGACGGAATAAGGCGCTATATCAAATGCAAGCAATATTATTATTATTTATTATATTATTCTGCATTGTGCTCAGGTCTCAGAAATCCTCACTCTAAATACACAAGAATGATTTTGCTCCATTGCCACTGTTCCAGGAAACGGTGCTGCTCTTGCATAGAAAGTTTCAGCCCAGAGAGAAGTAGTTAAATCCATCCTGTCCGTACCTCTATCTAAGATCTTTTTTTTAAATCACCCCTTTTGTTAAACACCCCTCTGTCCACTCACCGTCCTCCCATATTCCTCAATATTTGAAGCTTACCTAAACCTCGTCTTCCTCCGCGGTTTGTGAAGCACTCTGCCACTCTCCCCAGTTGTCCCTGATCTCCACTACCCGAGGTATAAATGTCACCATCAATAGACAGCATGGCCAGATGGTCATTACCTACAAAGAGAATGGAACCTTTAGTTTATATTGTTGTTATTGTTATTTATATTGAACCTACAGATCAGATTATGTTGGGAGTACTGTGGCGTAGTGGTTTGTGCAAGGGTCTTGAAGGAGGCAAGGGAGAGGGGGCGAGGCGGAGGGCCTGTGGGGTGGAGTTCTACAGAGTGGGGGCAGAGTAACTGAAGGCCTTCCCGCCAATGATGATAGGGTCGCGGAGCCAGGTGCAGGAAAAGACATTGGCTGCAGAGTTCTGCATGAATTGTAGCCTATGGATGGAGGCGTTGGGGAGACCGACAAGCAGAGAGTTTGACTAGTTGAGCCTGGATGTTATGAATGCGTGTAGGAGGGTCTGAGCAGCTTATGGTGTGAGACAGTGGCAGAGCTGGACGATGTTGTGGAGTTGGGAGAAGGCAGAACGGGCCATGGCATGGATGTGGAGTAGAAAGGATAGTTGAGGTTCAAACAAGATGCCAAGGTTACGGACTGGCCTAGTAAGGTGGAGTGTGCATCCTTGGATGGTGATGCTTTCAGCGCCTGAAGTGAGGAGGCGCTGACGGGAGCCAATCAGGAGGGCCTTGTTGGCGTTCAACTGTAGAAAGTTAGCTCTCATCCAGGACTTGTTGTCTGACAGACATTCTGTCAGGACAGCAGTGGGTCCTGGAATCGAGGGTTTAAACTGGTTACGATCGCAATACATACCCAGTGCGTCCCTTCAGTCAGCAGACACAGAAAACACCCTCAAATCTCTGCCGAACCAACAAAGTTTTCTCACCTGATGATATCTTAACTATAGCAACATCGAGCGGGATTTTCAGAGGCAGGCAGCTCTTCTTCATTGGTTCCAGCAATCCTATTATCCCAGTGTTATCCTGTAAGGGAACCAGAGTGGATATTAGACAGCATGTTTGGAGCCCGTTCAATATTTCTTTTAAGGCCCAAAAGTTGCTGCCCTCGATACCTACCCTGAATGAGCCCCAGATGTAGACTTCACCGATGTCCGTGAGAGCTGCTGTGTGACTGTCTCCAGCAGAAACCTGAACCACGTGCTCGTTCAGGATGACTCTTTCTGGGACCATTTCTGATCCCTCCTCCGATGTTTCTCGTCCAAGGGCACCGTCATCATTGCAGCCAAAAGTGTAAACCTGCGCGTCGCACAATCAGACAACAGTCATTTCAAAGCAGTTCATGCACCAGCAATCAAATCCTCCAATCCACTTCCCAGACCACCCCATACTACATCTCTGCCAGAAGTATTTAACCCCAAGGTGACCGGATCTCAAGACTGCTCTGGGGAAGCACTGTGGAGCGGACCAGTACGTCACTCAACAACAACAAAATGACATTTATAGGACGTCCCAAAGCGCTGAACAGCCAGATGTCAGGGCCCGAGCATGGGAGAGGGATGGCGTAGGGGTGAGGGAAGGCAGAGAGATGGGAGGGAGACCAAAGGCACGGTCGAAGAGAAGGGTCTTGAGACCGGCCTTGAAGGATGCAAGGGAGGAAGCGAGGCAAAGGGACTCAAGCGGCAATTCGTTATATACGAATACAGATCGTGAGGTTGGCCAGGCTGTTAGATGTTTAGTGAATGAGGGAGGGAGAATGGACAATTGAACCTATCCTGCCCTCACCAAATCTATGCATTCCAGGCGCTGATGTTGGAAATGCACCACACAAAACAGAAACTTGCAAGTTTTCCCTGTGGTAATGCAGAGAGAACTCGCCCAACCATTTGAATTCTCCATCCTGACCATAACAGTTCCCTGTGTACCGTATGGTACTCACATTCCCAGTGACACTCAAGCACACGGTGTGCATCCCCCCGGCTTCAGCCTGAGTAATCTTCTCCGGCAGCAATTTGACGAAGGCTGGTTTCTTCCGCACCAACACATTCTCCCCAAGCCCCAGTTGGCCCACGTCACCCTGGCCCAGTGTCAGCACGATCCCCGGGATATTTTTGTGGGAGGAATGGGAGACTGAAACAAAGCAAACGGACAATTATTGAGGCGCACAATTCGTAAAACAGAAAATGCTGCAAAGGAACAGTTAACACAACAAACGTCGGGAGTGACGTCCCTCAAATCAGACGTTAAAAAACCCCAAACCCTGCTCAGATGGATTTTAAAGATCCCACGAATCGATTGAAAAAGAAAGTTAATTAATCTCTCCTCGGTGTCTTGACCAATAATCTAGCAGGTAAATTGGTCACTCACTTTGTGCGATTTTGTGGCTGTTTGTGGGAGCTTGCTGTGTCCACATTGGCAATTTTCCTACACGCACAATCACTGCACTTGTGAGCAGTTACAGTGTTATATGCAATATCAGATATATTCGCCACTTACTCTCCAGCTGCCCAAAGTCTTCAGTGCAGTTACACGTGCTTTCCAGTTCATGCTGCACACAGTTAAAGCATGGCAGCCTTAAACACTCACACTCTTTTCCACATCCTCGTTGCCAGGAGTGAAAGTCGACGGATTTCCTCAGCTGTACATAACCAAAATACATACGTCGAGGCAACGTATTGAACGGACAACAAGGTCGGGCTCCTTCAGTGATGTTTCAAGACGTAACTATGAACGTGGAGGGCTAGCACACGGGCTCAACAGCTGCGATGTCACAAGTGCGGCGATGCTACTCAAGAGGTAGGGAGCAACCCGGATACCTGTGAGCTGAAGCTTTGTGATGCGAGAGCAAGCATCATACTCGGGCGTATCAAGAGAATGCACACGGACGGATATAGTGGGTCACAGTGTTTATAGAGAGAACTTAAGATAGCGAGCCACGCTGCGTTTAGAACAACTTCTTGCATTTATATATCGTCCCTCTTGGGGTGGGGCGGGGGGTTAGGGTTTGAGAGCGCTGATACAGAGAATGTGGATAGGTAGCCACGCGGCGTTGATACAGAGATAATAATAATAATAATAATAATAATAACAATAATACTTGCATTTGATCCCCTTATCACGTTGTCGAGACGTCTCAAAAGCGCTTAACAGAATGCACTGCAAAGCGAACTGATTGCGTATTTCGGACCGGAACGGGTTAGAAACGGGGAAGGTCTCGTCGACTCACTTTTTACTCTCTTGCTTTCTTCCGGCTGCTTCTTCTGGTCGGGCGACTTGTTGGATCGTTTGACCGTCTTTTTCCCGGACATCGTGTCCCCGTCCTGCTTTTACAACAACATACACAGTGGCGCGGGGGTGGAATCAGTGACAGGTAAACACGCGGAGGGCGATATATCTATATATGCGCTGTATAGAAAATGAAGAGGGGAGAGAGAAAGGGGGGGGAGAGAGAGAGAGAGTTCAGCTGTCGAGAGAATATAACCGCCGCCTTGTACAACGCACTGAAATGATACGGTTCCCAATATATAGAATAATATTCACAATTAATAATACAAGAGACTGTGCGTATATATATATATATATACACACACACACACGCGCGCGCGGACACCAGGTATATTATTTAACAAAGTATAAGCGATATAATATAATGTTTTTTTTTAAAAAATTGTCCTAAAACCTGGATGATCCTTTCGGAAAAGTTCCAAATGAAAAGTTGAGAGAGACGGATTTACCTCTATGTCTTTTTTTTTAACAAATGACTCTTTAAATACTTTTTTTCATATTTAAAAAAAAAGGTTTTTTTTAAAAAAAGGAAAAAAAAATAGCCTAAAGGGGGAGAGGAGGGGGAGAGGGGAGAGGGGGGGGGGGGGAGCAACAGCTTTAAATGTAAGGCTGATTTTAACCCCCTTTTACCCCCTCTTTTACCCCCTGATTCCCCCCCTTTTACCCCCTGATCCCCCCCTTTTACCCCTTCTTTTACCCCCTGATCCCCCTCTTTTACCCCCTGATCCCCCCTTTACCCCCTCTTTTACCCCCTGATCCCCCCCTTTTACCCCTTCTTTTACCCCCTGATCCCCCTTTACCCCCTCCTTTACCCCTGATCCCCCCCTTTTACCTTCTTTTACCCCCTGATCTCCCCCTTTTACCCCTGATCCCCCCCCAGGGCCCAGGCCTCCCTCCCTCCCCCCCTCTCTCTCTCTCTCCCGGAGACTGGAGGAGGCCGCGGGCGCCAATTTCAAACCGAAAACGCGGGCGGAGAACCGCCAGGAACAGGCGGGGCCCGACCCCGAGCCCTGAGCCCTGAGCCCTGAGCCTGACCCTGGGCCCGGAGCCTGAGCCCTGACCCTGGGCCCGGCCCTGACCCTGGGCCCGGAGCCTGAGCCCTGACCCTGGGCCCGGCCCTGACCCTGGGCCCGGAGCCTGAGGCCTGAGGCCGGGAGCCGGCGCTTGAAGCCGAACCCTCGAGGCCCGGGCCCGGGGCCTGTGTGGCCGGTGGAGCCGCCGAGCCCTCCCTGTCCTCCCCCCACACACTGACCCGCGGCTTTTACAATCAATACACACATCACCCCCACACCCCACAGCCCACAGCCCCGACCCCACAGCCACCCCCACAGCCCACACCCCACCAGCCCCGACCCCCCCCCACCCCACCAGCCCCGACCCCCACAGCCCCACCCCCCACACACCCCACACTGTACACACTCCGCACATCGCCCTCAGTCAGTGGATCACCACCGGTGATCTTCACTCACTCACTCACCTGAATCCTCCCCACACACACACAGCCTCTCCCGCCTCCCACAGCCCCACACTGAGCACTGGCCCTCCTCCCGCTATCACTCGTATGTCCTGTGAATGCTCTCTGTCTCTCTCTCTATATATATATACAGTATGTGTGTATATGTGTATATATCTATATTATCCTGTGGATGCTCTATATATGTATACAGTATATATTATATCTACATTATCCTGTGAATACTCTATATATGTATACAGTATATATTATATCTATATTATCCAGTGAATGCTCTCTGTATGTAAATGTATACTGTGTGTATATATATCTATAAATGCACTCTCTCTATATACAGTATATATACAGTATGTATGCATATAGGTCTATATTATCCCGTGAATGTTCTCTCTATATATAGAGTACGTATGCAGTATGTATATATCTATATTGTGAATGTACTCTCTCTATATAGAGTATGTATATAGTATATATATATATATTATCCTGTGAATGCTCTCTCTGTATATAATATGTAATTGACTGTGTATATTAGTGGGCGAAACGCGACAGACAAATGCGCTCAGCAACATCCTGCAAACAGTCGTGGATTGAAGTGACTAATTTTTATTGTTTTATACATATATATTATAACGGTGAATGCTCTCTATCTATATATTTGAAGCACTCAGACATCTGGAAGACGTGATGAGGCTCTATATTAAATGCACGATTATATATATATTATGTTGTGTATGCTCTCTCTACTTATATATTTTATATTATACTGCTTTCTATATATATTCCGTGTATATATTCTGCGTATGCTCTCTAAATATATTCTATATTAATTGTACAATGTATGTTCTTACTATAATATATGTTCTACTGTGTATGAAACACTGGCCTGTCTGTTATCTTGCTGTATATAAGGTACCATTCCCTCTCTCTTATGTCCAGGTTTATGTGAACATACATACATATAATCCCGTCTATACATTATATAAGACTCTAACACCACTCTTTCTGAGTTTATAGTTTAGTGTATAAGGTATTAGTAATTATACAATCTATAACAAACAATGAACAATACTGACCCCTACACATACATTGCCTATATGAAGCCCAAATAACCCACTGTACTTTAACCATTATGTGTAGTATATTCTATCATATATATTAAATCCTACATAGTATATTCTAGATCACAGTACATATTAAGCCGTGTGTCACAGTATGTTGAGGGTTGCTGTATGTGATGTTTTGCATCACAGTGTATATCAAGTCCTGTGTACGTGCGTGTCTGTAGCATGTGTATAAGGTGTGTCTGTAGGATGTGTATAGGGTGTGTCTGTAGGATGTGTATAGGGTGTGTCTGTAGGATGTGTATGGGTTGTGTCTGTAGGATGTGTATAGGGTGTGTCTGTAGGATGTGTATAGGGTGTGTCTGTAGGATGTGTACAGGGTGTATGTAGGATGTGTACAGGGTGTCTGTAGGATGTGTACAGGGTGTATGTAGGATGTGTACAGGGTGTCTGGAGGATGTGTACAGGGTGTCTGTAGGATGTGTACAGGGTGTCTGTAGGATGTGTACAGGGTGTCTGTAGGATGTGTACAGGGTGTCTGTAGGATGTGTACAGGGTGTCTGTAGGATGTGTACAGGGTGTCTGTAGGATGTGTACAGGGTGTCTGTAGGATGTGTACAGGGTGTCTGTAGGATGTGTACAGGGTGTCTGTAGGATGTGTACAGGGTGTCTGTAGGATGTGTACAGGGTGTCTGTAGGATGTGTACAGGGTGTCTGTAGGATGTGTACAGGGTGTCTGTAGGATGTGTATAGGGTGTCTGTAGGATGTGTACAGGGTGTCTGTAGGATGTGTACAGGGTGTCTGTAGGATGTGTACAGGGTGTCTGTAGGATGTGTACAGGGTGTCTGTAGGATGTGTACAGGGTGTCTGTAGGATGTGTACAGGGTGTCTGTAGGATGTGTACAGGGTGTCTGTAGGATGTGTATAGGGTGTATGTAGGATGTGTATAGGGTGTCTGTAGGATGTGTATAGGGTGTCTGTAGGATGTGTATAGGGTGTCTGTAGGATGTGTGTTGGTGGCCACTGCCCTCTGGCTGCAGCTTCTCACCACTGCGCCTGCGCACTGACCCTGTGCGGGGGCGGGGCCTGGGCCGCTCACACGGCGTCAGCCAATCACAAGCCCGCGATTCGCTGAGCGTCTCAACCCACTCCAAAGTGATCTGAAGTCTTCATTCAGTAACCGGTCAGAGGGCAATGCAACAGCAACAACAGCTCACACTTAATAGACCCCCCCGCCCCCCCGCCACGCAGAGCACGCTCGACAGTGACGGAGCACGACACCGAGACGGGAGGGGGGGGGGGGGGGGTGACCGTAGGCACAGACGAAGAGGAAGGCCGTTAAGACACCAACCGAAGATGGGACAAGGGGCACAGCGGCTGAAAGCGCGGCCAGCGATGGCGGAACAGATTGTTTGAGGGACACGCAGGAGGCCGGAGCCAGCCGAGCAGAGGCGGGGGTTTGTAGGTTGGCGGGGAAGCAGGACGGAGAGGGTAGTGGGGGGTGGGCGGTGCCGGGGGCACGAAGGGATTTGAAAGCGAGTCTTGAAATCGATCCTCACTGCTTCCTCTCTTGGGTTTGCGCACAATGAATTGTGCGTTGTTGTTATGTAAAGTACTCCCGGTGTCCTGACCATCCCAAACATACCGATGCAGGTAGTACGCCTATACACAGCACCTGTGACCCATCTTACAACCACTTCCCCAGAACTGGAATGCCTCCTCAAAAAGGTCTTGCAAGCATATTAGTTGCTCGGTAAGTAATTCCCCAATATTCACCCGTAATGTGAAACCGACAGCAGTTACTTCGATTTGACTTTTATTTCAAACCGGCTCATACGCAGGTTCTTAACTGTATGCGGAGCTTCAAAACCAATTTAAAATTTCAACAAGTAGCTGATGGTCCATCTGGCAACATTGGACCGCTTTGTTCGTGGGCTGAAGTTGCTAAGACGAGCCATAGATCTTGAAATCTCGTTCGAAGATCTTGCAAGCTCGAAGAGGTCCCATACGATCTTAAAGTAAACAGAAACTGAATCAGATTGCACTCGATTACAACTAACTGGCAGATAGTTACCCCAATATTAATTTCTGAGCCCCCCCCCCCCCACCCCACAATGTTCAACTCCAACTCTCTGCCACTTGTATCACACCGAAACATGTCAAGCTGGTTAATATTCTTCCACCAGGTCCCAGAACACATTACACTTAAACGCATAAACTGAAACTTAAAAATTAAATGGCTTCCATGTTTCACCTATAATACAGTGAATTCACTTTACAGTATATCCTGAGTAGCGCTTTGTGAGACATCTCAACGATGTGATAAACAGCTATATCAAATGTAAGGATCATAATTATATCATTATTATACATGCACCAGAAAGTTTCTTCCACTCTTAAATTTAAAACAATTCCCTAGAAATTAATGATTGAAATCCATTTTCTTAGCATATCCTTGTCCCGAGGGTGAGTCGCGGATAAATATTCTGAGACTGAACAGATGAGGGGATGTACCCTGCATGGTTTATCTCCTCAGTCACTGCCCGCTGGGCTCTGAGAAGGTATAGGAATATACAGGCTGCTATCCTCACCGGCCCAAGGGCCGGGGACAGACACTCTCTCCAACGCTGTGGAACAGGACTATACGTCAAGGGCCCAGAGGCCTACGCTCCCATACGCCACGCGGACAGAACCATAGGAGTGACCTCCCATGGATGCCCTCGTTGGGTTTATACTTCCTCATCAAGCATGAATATTTACCTCAGAAACGATTGCTTTCGTCTGTAGTCCTATTGCTCCTTCGACAAGTTCAGGACAAAAACAATCTCTCGACTGCAGAATGAAGAAAATAGAGTTGAACATAAAGAATTATGTGGCCTTGCTAAACATTAAACCCCTAAATACCCACTAATGTGAGCCTAAAATTAGAAATGAGTTAAAAAGTAAATATAAACAGATTCTTAAAAGTCCTGAGAAAGTGTGGGGGAAAAAAACTGCATAAAGAATCAACCTAAAAGTTTGCATGGAGATGTCAGGTGTTACAGAATACACAATGATGTCCCAAGGCGATAAGACAGTCAAGGATTTGGACCCAAGCATGCCGGGGGCGCGGGTGGGAGTTTGCAAATATGGAAAAAGCAAGAGAAATGGTGAAGCAGGTTCAACAGAAAGCACTGCCTCCTACTGTTTCCATATCCTTAATGCTCATTTAATTCCCCAACAATGCTTAATAATGTAATTGTACCCTGCATGGTTTATCTCCTCAGTCATTGCCCGCTGGACTCTGAGAAGGTATAGGAATATACAGGCTGCTGTCCTCACCAGCCCAAGGGCCGGGGACAGGCACTCTCTCCAACGCTGTGGAATGGGACTGTACGTCAAGGGCCCAGAGGCCTACGCTCCCATACGCCACTCGGACAGAGCCACGGGAGAGCGAACTCCCATGGACGCCCTCATTGGGATCTTTCCTCTTTCTAAACAAAGCAGAACTTACCCCACAGTCCCAAGGAAGCTGCCATTGACCTTTCTTCCTGGCTTTCAGTTCATCAGCCAGGCAGAACCCAGGGTTACTTCAGCATCAGCAAGGAATTTGTCTGTAATGGTCAGAATGCAGGAAGGATTAATACACACACTCCAGCTAATAGTTTGCTAGATCACACACATCCAAACACTCACTCAACCTTTTTCAGCCTGAACAGAGGAGGGGATGTACCCTGCATGGTTTATCTCCTCAGTCACTGTCCACTGGACTCTCTGGGAAGGTATAGGATTATATAGGCTGCTGTCGTCACCAGGTCAAGGGCTGGGACAGACACTCTCTCCAACGCTGTGGAAAGGGACTGCATGCCTCAGGCCTAGCGGCCTACGCTCCCATATGCCACCCAGACAGAGCCATGGGAGTGATCTCCCACGGATGTCCTTGTTGGGGTTTAATCCTCTTGTTAATCTATTAGAGCTGAACAAATTGCTTAATCTCTATCCAACACCCAAAATTGCCTTAAGTGTCTGCATCTATAGATGTTCTGATCTAACACCGACACTGGTACCATCTGCTAAAACGACAACAACTTGTACTTGCCCTCCACGCAAGATAGTGTTTCAGAGCGTTAAGAGAGCCCGACTCCGAGCCAGGGGGGAGGAGGCCGTAAGCAGTCAAAGAGGAAGGTTTTCAGGCCGGACTTGAAAAAGGGACAAGGTGGAGCAACCGAGGAAGAGCATTCCAGAGATTCCGGACGTAGTAGCTGAAAGCGCGACCTCCGATGGTAGGGTGGAGGGCGCAAAGGGTGAGCAGGAGGCCAGTGCCAGACGAGCGGAGTCGCCCAGTGGTGGATTGGGGAGTGAGGAGATCGGGGTGGTAGGGAGTTGCCAGAGAGTGAAGGAATTTGAACACAAGTGTGAGAATCTTGAAGTTGCTCCATTCGATGGAACCAGGCCAGAATTGGTGAGATGTGGGTTTGGTCCGGGTAAATATGCAGTGGCAGAGTTCTGAAAGAGTCTAACTTTTTGAATAGTGGAGTTGGGGAAACCGGTGAGGAGTGCGTTAAAAAAGGACCTCACTTTAAAGGTTTTCAAATTGCACACAACCATTTCCCATTATGTCTCCAGTTACACATTCAAACACTGCCTCTATATAATATTGAGATTGTATGAGGCTGCAAGAACGACAACCTAAAGCATATACAAAACTTACCCGAGACATTGCTGAGGGGGCCAGCATATTCTTCTGGTCCAATTCTCAGGAGCCTCCAGACAGATCATTTCACTCTAATATGAGAAGGAAGCAAATCAGTTTGACTTAATGTAATTGAAACCAAACAACCATATAACACCTCTCCCGTCAAGTAGGAAAGCTTCTCCGTGCGTCTAACATTGCCTCGAAACGAAAATTATATCTTTGAGGTTCATCTAATTCCCCAATTATGCTAATAATGTAACTGTACCCTGCATGGTTTATCTCCTCAGTCACTGCCCGCTGGGCTCTGAGAAGGTATAGGAATATACAGGCTGCTGTCCTCACCGGCCCAAGGGCCGGGGACAGACACTCTCTCCAACGCTGTGGAACAGGACTGTACGGCACGGGCCCAGAGGCCTACGCTCCCATACGCCACTCGGACAGAGCCACGGGAGAGTGAACTCCCATGGATGCCCTCGTTGGGGTTTAAAATCCACCTTCGCCTACAGATAAACCCACAAAGTACACACGGCCTCACCACTGCACAAAATGTCCGGCAAAGCCACCTTGAGACGCCTCGACGGCATAAGGGGCTACATGACCATGCGAGGAGCGTTAAGATGCCCAGTGACGGCACAGAACCCTTGCAAAGCACCGAGCGACGCCCAGCACCAGGATCCCTCCACCGAACGCCGCGGTTATTCTTTACGCAAATATCGGCTGCATATTGGCGCAATATCAAATGCAAGAATTATTATGATTATTATTATGACTATATTTATATTGACCTCAGAACTCCAGTGCCCACGTGCGCTCCACAGTCTGGTCAATCCTTCCTCCAGCTCAGGGCGGGTACAATTAATAATAATAATAATCCTTGCATTTGATATAGCGCTTTTCACTTCGGGAGGACGTCCCAAAGCGCTTCACAGAACACACTGTAAAGTGAATTGACTGTATATTTGTGGGAGAACGCGGCAGCCAATTGCGCACAGCAATGTCCCACAAACAGTCGTAGATTGAAAATGACCAATTTATTATTGTTTTTGGTTTTGGAGGGATTATTATTCCATGATAACCACAGGAAAGTCACTGCAAGTAGATGAGGGATGGGGGGGATGGGGAGGGGGGATGAGGAGGGGGGGATCAGGAGAGGGGAGATCAGGAGAGGGGGGATTAGGAGGAGGGGGGATCAGGAAGGGAAATGAGGAGGGGAGGGGGGGATCAGGAGGAGAGGGGGGATCAGGAGGAGAGGGGGGATCAGGAGGGGGAATGAGGAGGGGAGGGGGGATGAGGAGGGGAGATGATGAGGAGGAATGAGCAGGAGGGGAGGGGGGGAAGAGGAGGGGGGATCAGGAGGAGGGGGGATCAGGAGGAGGGGGGGATCAGGAGAGGGGGGATCAGGAGGAGAGGGGGATCAGGAGGGGAATGAGGAGGGGAGGGGGGGATGAGAAGGGGGAGATGATGAGGAGGAATGAGGAGGAGGGGGGGGGATCAGGAGGAGGGGGGGATCAGGAGGAGGGGGGGATCAGGAGGGGGAATGAGGAGGAGGGGAGGAGGGGAAAAAGCCCAGTTTCACTTTAAATGATAACCTTTTTTATAATTCTACCAATGTTCGCTCGCGTCAAAACACAACTTTAAACGGTTTCACTCGTGAGAGAGTGAATCTGATCGCGATTTTTTTTTTTTTAAAAAACCCCCCACCACCACCACGAAGTCACCAGAAAAGACATTTAGAACTGAAGCGAAGAGAATAATTGATGTGAACGCAATAAAACTGTGGCCGTACAGGAGGCCACGAGCGGCGCCTCTTTTCCTCGCCTTCCCCCCCAACCCACCCCACCCCCCGAGGGGGGAGTCAGGCCACCAGAGGCCGGGGATCTCGGGCCTTCCCTTAGGGTCGCGCTCACCTCAGACCTTCTTCTCCGGGTTCCCGCCGTTGAAAGACTGAGCGGTCCTTTGAGCGACGCTTATATAGTGCGGGAGGACCCGGATGGGGGGTGGTGGGTGGGGGGGAGACCGCGTGTGTACTCAGCGTCAGCTCCGCGCACAGCGCCCCCCGCCGGCTGGAGGCCGCCACTGCCCCTGACCCCCGCAACCGCCTCCATGCAGATAGCATCGGGTGTAGTGACTGTGCGCGAGGCGATAGTGGGCAATCCTGGCCGTCCCAATGGTGATATCCCTGGCGTTCGATCCGGCGCCTTATCACGGCCTCGAGGCGTCCCAGAGCGCTTCACGGGGCTACACTGTAAAGTGTAGTGACTGTGCATTTGGCGGCCAACCCGGCAGCCAATAGCGCACGGCGGTGTCGCACGAACAGTCGGGGATTGAGTGGCCAATTTTATTTTGACACAGTGCCGTATCGCGGCACCGTCACACCCCAAACACTTTCGCGGGAGTATGTGTTGTAATATAATTTACAATATAATAATTATAATAATTATATTATATAATACGATATAACTGAATGCTGTGTGAGGCTACGACAATGTACTGCGTATTTTTGGGGGCGAAACGCGGTTCGATCACTGCCAGTTTGCTAAATGGATGTCCCATCCGACGTCCACGTCCATTGGTTTGATACGGACGTGCAAATGAATCAAGCGACACAAGAGTTCGAGCTCAGGGTACGGTTGTTCTTTTTATTCAAGGTTTAAAAATGTCACGTCTTACGGGAAAATGAATGAGCAAAGCCAAGATGTTAAGGCACCTCTCCCTTAAAAGAAATGGAAAAGCAAACGGTAAGCAGGTCATATGGGAGTCAGACATGACATGGATAGGTTTCTTTTAAAACATTAAAAGCATGGCTACAAACATCCAGTTGAACACAAAAGTTGGTTGCGTTGTACATAGAACATTTTGTCAAGGCCATTAATGGAACTTATGCCGTTTCCAGCTCAGCATTGGAAGTTTCTGCTCTCTGCTTGGCAGCCAAATTGGTCGGAGCCCAAACAGACCATTCCCCCCCCCCCCACCGATATGCTACGAAGCAGAAAACTACTTAAAACCTGAGTTACTGTTTGAGTTGGCCTCTGGATTCATGACATTCGAGCTCGGAAATACTGGCTCTGCAGCATTGGCGACGCAGCACCTATTTCCCAATAGGAATTGCTAGCGTCAACCAACTACTTCTATCAGAAATAAAGTTTGGACTTTCTCGTCTCGGCTCCAAGAAGCACCTCACATTTTATTTTTTGAATGGGGGGGGGTGGGGTCAAAAGAATAGGAATCGATGGGAGATGAATGTCGTTAATCACGTGAACACTACCAGACAGTGATTTGCGAACCAGCACCAGATGGAACTTGGAGCTGTCCACAGCCCAACTGGCCTGGACCTTCCAGTTAATGAGAAGTGGTGAGATGGTAGACACTGTGTGTGCAGATAAACATAGTGGGGGGTTTGGGGTGGGGGAGGGAAGGAGAGTGAGGAGAATTAAAGATGAGAAGCAATGAGGTTCGTTGGTCTTTATATTCACGGAAAGATTTGCCCTTCGGGGCTGGAAAGTTTTTCTTTAGCTATCACTTCCTCAGCTTTGTTGGGTCACACAGGTCTGTTTGCAGACAACAGCAACAAAACATAAAAGCTCCCCAACCAGGGAGGAAACTGGTTGGTACAAACATCAGAACTACACCAGTCAGTCAGATCTCTCCGCAGATGAAGAGCTAGCTTTACATTACAGCGCTTTGGCACCACAGGGGTGCAGGCAATGGAATGCCAAGTGTAAGGTTTACCTGAGTTAAGAGCAGTGCCAATGACGTATTTGCCCAATTAGAGATTTGTTCCAAGAATTGAATCAAATGGACCAGGATAATATGAGTATGTTACCCTGCATTGGGCCGCACCTCACTCCTCGGATCCTTAAATGCACATCAGAATGTAAAGTTTAAACCAAATCGCTAAATTACCTTTGCAGGTGACTTTAGAGTGGCTGTTAGCAACGGGGGGGGGGGAGGGATGTAATCTCTAATATCCTGGAGTGCATTGACTGACCGGATTATGTGGAAAAGTAGATGGTGTAGGTTTGATGTTGGATTCAGCCCCTGTCATGACAAGTAGGGAACTGCTTTTTTTTTTGTTAAAAAAATTAATGAGAAAGCAGCACTTATAGAGAACAAAATACATGAAATAAAAACAAATGTAAAAGCAATGTTCGATTATTTACACCTCATACGAAAATGTACATACATCAACTATACAGACTGCAAAAAATTAAAGTTGTTTTTTGTGGGGATTTTTCTTTAAAAAAAGACAATTCCTAAATTAGGACGCTGGATTTTAACCTGGTCTTTGTAACCTGCCTTCCGTACAGCTGTGTTTTATTGCCTATGTACAAAGCAGGCGGAATTAATATTCTTTCTATGTCAGTCAGGTTTAATGTGATAAAGCACACACCTCTGATGATGAATTTGCCAGCTGTATCAGAAGCGGTAAAGACAAGCTTAAAATAAGCCCCCAACTGGTTACAAAAAAGAAAATATACCAACAGTTTTGCTTTATCTTACATACATGTGCAAGCATTCTCTTTTCTAAAATGTGTGTCTTTGTTCTGCCTTATTCCCAAGCGCTGGTTTCAACCCAAAGGAGGTATTGAGCAAACGCCAAGCTGTGGCTCAACTCATAACTATTAACCAAATGCTGCAGAAGAGGGGAGGAAGCACGAGGCCAATGCACTGATTCAACCAGACACTGAACCAACCAGCGCTGCTTCTCTCTGAGCGGCCACCAGAGTTGCTGAGGCGGAATGCTTGGGATTTTCCAAGCTTATCCTCACGCTCTCTCTCCCCCCCACCACCACCACCACCCCATCACCTCTTCATACCTCCAATGGAATAGCGCTGTAGACAGAAAGAAAGCAGAACAGAGAGCCACAATGAACAGTGATGGGAGGAGGGTTGGGTGGAAGGTGTGACCCATGTCAAAGTGCCCGATCCAGACAGACTTCCATCGCAGCACAACCCGAGCCAGGGTCGCCCGCCCAAAACCCCAACAATTCTGAGAATGTTAACACAAGCCGGGCCCATGATAACCTGCTCGGCTAACACCGGGAGGTCAGCTGCGCTGCTCGCTGATAGAACACACACGCACTGGAAAAGCAACGTCAGTAACGACCTGAAGACCCATTTTTAACATCCCCCCCACCTCCTCTTTAACGTGGGTCTGAGTTTATGGACTGAAACTACTGCGTAATAATGCGATTGGCCTGTACACTGAAACCAGCCCGCATGTCCTTCACCTTCTCAGTCCGCTACACTTTTTGATTTCACCTTCAAATTCCCCCACACTCTCCCTGCTTTGCTGATTCTTATCAGTGAAGGGTTCCACATACTCAGGACAACCTCACACAATGCAAATAACATTCTTCCTACCTCAGTGCTACAGGTTCAACGCTCTCTCGCCAGTTGTATCAGAAAATATAGGCAGGTTTACAGAGCGTTCAAACGCAAGGACAGACAATGAGCGTTGACGGCCTATTTGATTGGGGGAGGGTGTCGGTTGGGGGGGTAGCGGGGTGGGAAAGAAGATGATGGCATTGCAGCACAATCCAATTCTGTCCTCACCCAGGGTCCAAACATGCCACTTGGGGTCACTGAACAGTTATTAAAATGGGGATCCTGGTTCATTATACCTTCCTTCTCTAAACTCCCACCCAGGAAACTCAGCGTTAAAAAGTTAAAACACCAAACGCGCCCCCATTTCCCTACATGGATAAAGATGTCATCAACAAGCGTTTAGCTGCTTGTGCCAGAAGGCCAAGCAGAAGCAAATAAAATCTAGAGAAGTGCCTCAATGGTGTGATAACAAATTGAGCCACTTAAGTAAATTACTTCAACTGATTCACTGCACGTCCCAGAAATACGCAATACAATAGGACCCAAATTTACCAAACCATCCCAAATTTAAAACACCCCTGCCCCCCCACCAAGAGTCTGTTTCTTGCTTGGTGGCACACGGCAAGAAACAGAAATGGGGAGAAGGGGTGAGGAAAAAAGTCACCATCTCCACACCTCCAGCCTGGGGGAAGCATATCAGCTTCTTAGCAACCGATGGAACGAGCTGGGGGTTAAAATGACAACACAGCAAAAAAAAAACGATCAGGAATTCCCAAAGTTGCAAACAGCCACATAATGAACCGTGGACTATGTTCCAGTAGCGTTGAAATACCCCAGTAGTGTTTTAAAGTGGATTCTGATATACACACATATATATATATATATATTTTTTAAAAAGCCACTATAATACTTTTTATTCAATATTTAGATTTAAAACAGGAAGACAGATTTACACATATTGACTTATTTCTTAAAGCGACACTTTATACAGTGGTCATTTGCGGTGGCATGGAATTTCTCCAGTGGCACGTGTATACTCTCCCGGCACAAACCATTTTCCCCACAATTTAGAGAGGGGGGGGGTGGAGAAAGGGGGTCGATTTGCACCGTGGTGAGGTCCTGGACCAAGATGCTCACGGCACGGAATAAGACGGATCTTCGAATGGAGGCTTCCCTCGATCTATTATTTTTGTTTGGAAAAGTGCTCCTCGATACAATTGGACGAAAAAAGCAACAACAAAAAAATGCTCTTGCACGGAATTAACGGCAGGAGAGCTGCGGTTTTGTCTTCGTTTGGAGAGCCGTGCATCACCTCAAGAAACCGAGATGTAAAGGCGCGAGGGCTATGCGTGTAGGAGAGACGGGACGGGGGGGGGGGGAAGAGAGGGTTAGGGAATCTGCATCACATTGCCGGGTTCAATTTCAAGCTCTACCTCCTCTCGCTCACTCTCTGACGATCCAAGCAAAAGATAAACAGCCACCACAGTTTAGAAGAATAAAAACCCCTGAAAGACAGCTAAAATCAGCGTTGTACTCACAAATCCCACCCCCCACCCCACCTCGCAATCAGTCCTTTTTTGCCTCCAGGGAAAAAAAAGTTAAGAGAAAGACATCACCACGAGCACTTCCAGCGTCTCCGCACTGTTTGCACTGTCGCGGGTTTCACCCGAATCGCGGGTGTTGGACCGATGTGAAGGTGTGGACAGACAGCAAGCGTTCGAGCAGAATAGGATCGGGGAGGGAATCCTTCCTCGGGGATGCGTTAACTGGTGGAAGCAGGATTTACGTACGAAACGGCGAAGCAAAGGATCGATTTCACCATCCGTAGCACCGGGTTCACTGAATGTGTGTTAAATGCATTTGTATACAGGTGTCTGCACAATGTGGCTTCCCGCACAATACTCTGGGGAATTCATCCCCATCTCCGCACAGACACCGACCGCACAGAGAGACGCCAGCTTCTAGCTTGTACTTGTCATTATGGTCGATGAAACCTACAGGCAGAAAGTGAAATTCAGACCAAGTGAGTTCATCCGAAACCCCAGACATCCTGCAGGTCACAAACCCATAACTAGTTACTAGTTGCCCTATTATCTAATCTGTCAGGTTAAACGCTGTGAGAGAGAAAGTGACAAAGTGTGAGTGAGAGAGAGCATGAGTGTGTATGTGTGAAAAGCAAAAGAATAAAAGTGTGTGAGATAGAAAGTGTGAGAGAGTCTGAAAGACTGTGTGTGTGTGAGAGTGTGTGAGTGAGTGTGTGAGCGAGAGAGAGTGTGAGTGAGATAGAGAGTGCGAGTGAGAGAGAGTGAGGGAAAGAATGTAAACGGTACCTTGTGTACATCCGACTTTCCTCATGCACCTCCATCTCTGTACTCTTGAATTCATTTAGCTCTTTTCGTATTGCTGCCTAAAACGGGACAATTGATTTGACAATAAGAAACTCGTTGCAACAGAAGGGATGGGACAGGAATGGGCCAGCGTTGAGCTGGAGTGAACGACCTTAGCCGATTAACTCAGGGCAATGTTCCAGCCCTTGTTAAAATCCACGCAGTGTTTTCCCATGCCATTCGTCTAACCTAGTGGGGCTTTATCGTGGGAAATCGATTAATTACCAGAAAAAAAACTTATTGAATCAACAATGACAATATTGGGATATAAAAGCAGTTTAAATCTCCACAACGCTGCAGGCAGGAGCTTCTCACCTTATCTGCTGGTGTTAGTTTTGTCCACGGCTTTTCTGCACGGCGGTCGTAATCATAGGCGTCCGTCACCTCGACGTATTCGTGGAAACGCAGGATATTTCGAGCCTGAAGCTCTGCCACCGTGGGTCTGGCGCTGAGCTGAATTAAACAGGTCGCGACAAAGCAGGACAGTAAGGATAACGTTCACGTCAACAAATGACATTTGTATCGTAGCGCCTTTTCACGTCAGGAGGCGCTCGACAGCTGGAATTTCAATCCGAGCTGTGGATGGGGAACAGGGAGAATGGGGGTAGGGAGACTTGCCGCGTTCAGTCTTCCCAACACAGACTTTCCCAGTTTTTGACGCTAACCAGACGTCACCAAAGTCAAACAGAAAAGTTCCCTCAAGGAACAACAGTCATGGCTCAATCCCCCTCTTCTTCCCCCTCTTGTGCCGCTACCCCCCTCCCTCCCGACACACACACACAACAACGACCATTGGGCCCACAGAAACATATTCCCCCCATTTGACTTCAGACAGCGAGTGTCGGTCACACAAGCACCAGACTCCACCCCAATCCCACATACGCTTTAAGCCCATCAAATGTAAGGTGGAGAAGAGTTGTGGTAAATCCTTCAATTCATTCTCAATTTGAAAGTCAGCACCTCACGTTTCCAGAGCTTTTCGCCTGAACACAAAGCTTTATGATGCCTGACTCTAAAGCCCGGAATGTAACAAATCATTTCCGTACCTTCCTAGTGAGCCGTCGTTTGATCTCCCGTTTCTCCGCCTGATGCTGTTCATCGTCCTTCTCTGTGAAAGGGGAAGGAAAGCCACATCCATCAGATTTCAGCATCTCGTGAGGGTGGGTGGGGGGGTGCTGACAAAGTACCCAAATAGCGCATACACCTCCGAAAGGTTTAAAAAAAAATCTTTGACTGCGCCATTGCCCACCTCCCTCTCCCCCCGCCCACAGAATGCTTTACGCAGGAAACGTATGTGGTACTTGTTGAGATATTTTCCTACGTGAGGGACTGTACGAGTAGCGAACTGTGCTGCTGAGTCTGCCTGACCCTCAAGAGGTTCCTGAGAGGAAAGATAGCTTATGCTGAGGATGCTTTTCTGGCAGTCACGTGGTTCGGGCACCTTTTACACCCACTGAACCTTTTGTGTCTCAGTACCTATTCCTGACACAAGTAAACCACTGGGCTTTAGGGAGAATGTGCGGGAATTTAAAATACAGCCAGTAAAACACCAAGCAGTTTCGCAACTGGTTAAACGCACTCAGTGATCAAGGGTGAAATAAGTACTAACGTTTAAGGATGTTCCTCTGCTCCAGCTCTTCTGCTGTCGGTCTTTGGCTCAGTCGCCTAAAGGGGAGGGAGGGGAGACAGAGAGGCGAAGGCTATTAGTCACACAGCGGCTTTTCATAACACTGACCCAGAGGTAAACACACAACAGACGTCAGGTATGGGTATCCGTTAAGATCCAAAGCTTCTTAAAATCTTTGGCCCCCCCCTTCACCCCCAGATATTGGACCCCAAGTTTCCAACACAAACGGTCTGGCTGTCTAAGTGGGCATGGAGTACCGGATGAGGGAGTGGAGCTGGTGGACTAACCCACCTGATCTTGGGCAGCCTGCAATGGTAGGTGTGCAGTGCTAACTGTACAGTCTCACAGTGCCACATCTCAGCTTTCAGGGACCTCGCCCCTTCCCTTGCCTCCTTCCAGATCCATCTCAAGACACCCCTCTTTGACCCCTCTTCGGTCACCCTCCTATCCCTAACCTCTCCACCCCTCCTGATCCCAACCACCGGTTTCGTTGTGGATCCCTGACTGTCCAGCATCTTGGGACGTCCTCCTACGTGAAAGGTATTGTGTAAATGTAATCGCTTTGGTTTTTTTTTTTACCTAATCAGCTCTGTCCCGATCTGCTGCCGGAGCTCCATTCTCTCTTGGTCTGACTGCTGAGGGAGGATATTCTTCTCTATCAGCCTCTGTTTTGTGGGCCGGTTGCTCAGTTTAAGGGCCAGAGTATCTTTTCGCTTCACCTTGTTGGCCAGAGAACCTGCGGCAGAGATTGGAGCAGACGTCACAAATGCAAGCTGGTATCAGAAGCAAACAAAAGCCCCGCCAGAGCCACCTGTGGCCAGACCCACGGGTGATGATTCCACGAGGGATTTCTCACTAAATGTCTGAGATAGCGGACAGGCCTGGCAGCGACCAGGAATAGGAAACATGGCACATTCACCATCCTCCCATCTGTAGGCCAGGTTTGCAAATATTCACAGACGAGTTACACGAGTCCAATCGCCATGTACTTTGGAATTCCACGCTGTCTCAGCCCACGAGACTCCAAACAACAGCTATAGAATTTAAGAGGCGCAGTGTGGAATTGTTGAAAATCCTTAAATTCAGCGTTAATTTGGAAGCCTTTTTTTTAAAAGAACAGCAGAAAACCTCAAACCCAGGCTAAGCTTTCTTTGACGGTCGGAGAGTAAAACTCTGGGCCACTGCTGCAGGATGTATACAGAGATACATTCACAGCTGACTTATGGCAGACATATTCAGGCAAGCAGCAGACCGAGAGTGAGTTACTGAATGCCAGTGTACGTACTGGCTTGGTCATCTTCCTCATCTTCATCCTCATCGTAGTCGTCTTTGTACAGCACCGGCCCGTCCTCATCCGAGTCGGTCGTCTCCTCCTCTTCCTGCCTCTCCAGCTCCGGAATGATGACTACCGAGGGAAGGAAGCTTGGGAAATTCCGTCTCTCTGGGCTCGGCTCCTCTTCCTCCTCGTCCTCCGTGGTCTCCTCGTCAGACGGACTAATTAAACAAATCACATGTGGCCGGTCAGATAGAAGAGGGCAAGTGGAGGGGCAGTGAGTGAGTGAGTGAGTGAGTGACGGAGGGGGCGATCAGAGTCAGAGATTGTGTGGAAGGGGGGTGGTAGGAAGAGAAGAGGATTAAAAGATCTACGGTAATCCACCAGAGGAACAGTTTTGGTGGCCTGAATGGCCTCCTCCTGTACAGGCACTTTCTGAAGAGCAGAAAAAAATATTGGTGGTGAAGAGGATGAAATATGAAATGAATCTGCTTCAAACTCTGGTGGGTTAGTCACCCGGGGAACCACCAAACTGGTTGTATCCTTTAGTAACTCGCATACACAACAACAAAAACAACAACAACTTGAATTTATACAGCCCCTTGATGAGGGGTGGTGTTTCGGAGTGTTTTAATAGTGGCGGAGCCTATCGCTGAGCCGGGGATAGGGAGGAGGTGACTATAAGCTCGTGTGCAAACCCCTTACTATCCAGCACCTGCCTTTGGACATCGTCTCGACGTGAAAAGCGCGGTATAAATGCAAGTTGTTGTTGTCAGTGCAGTCAAACCGCAGAGAAAACGAGCTCCCCACCCCGAGTTCCCCAAACCCACCCAACCACCCACTCACCACTTCAGTTTCTGCAAGGTGACCTGTAGAGCTTTGTTCTTACTGGCATCTTCGAAGCTGCTGTCAAACAGCAAGGCCTGAGCCGAGTTCGAGCCCTCGCTGGCCGAGAGGACGGGCCGAGGGCTACACAGCGCCTGCTGGATCATTATGTGCAAGGGGATCTGGGACTGCCGAGTTGGGAGGAGCTCCGGGTAATCGTCTGACGGAGGTTGAGACAGTCGTAACCTCTCCAGCTCTGCCGCTGTCCTGTCCTTGTCTGACTGTAGGTTTGGCTGCGTTAAGGATAGCGCTGGGGGGATGGTCCTGCCTGGCGGTTTTGCTGGAGGTTGCTGGGTGGCCCCGTCAGGAGCGGGAGGAACGTGCGTAGGCAATGGTGGAGACGGGGGCTGCTGGCAAAGCTCCTCGAGTTCAGGCAGATCTTTGGCGCAGCTGGAAACCTCGTTCACGTTCACGTTGAAGCTTATCCTCTTGTGGGGCAGCAAGGGCGACTGTTTGCTCAGCCTGGCAGCAGAGGAGGGCCCCAGCGCTTGAGTGAGCTCCGCTGAAAGAGAAAGTGGAAAGAAAAGTCGGTCTCTGCAGCTTCGGAAACACCAGCCGCATTCACTCAGGAGCCTCCTCGCACGAGAGAGGCAGCAGTGTCTTAGTCTCACTCTGGGTGAGCTGCACCAGAATGTCCCGCGCTACAGTGCTGACCTAGTCACGAAGGCTCGCCCTCAAGGTGCTTCCCTCCCCGATTCTGGCCTGGCGGAATCTCAAATCAATTGTGCATCATTATCTCTCACAACACACATTTTCTCAGACTCTCTCTCTCACACACTCTCTCTCTCACACACTCTCTCTCTCACACACTCACTCTTCTCATATCCCCCACACACACACGCACAAATTCTCTGACACACACTCACATACACACAGAAGCACACACACACGCACATACACACACACACACTCTCTCTGTCTCACACTCTCACACACTCACATGACTCCAAACTCTTGGTTGACTTGTGTGTGGGATGTGTGAATCAGTTTCTGTGTTCGCCTACAAGTACAGTCACTACAGCAACAATTCCCTGTGATGAAGTTATCGAAGTCGGATTGAACACTTCTCCCTTCCCCACCCACCTATGCTCCTGCCCCATGCGACAGCAAAGCAGACACTCACCAAATAGAGGATTGCTATTCCGGTTGGGTTTTGGCGGTGGGACAGGAGGCTGCTTGGCAGGGACGGTGGTGTTCGTAGTGGTGGTGGTGGTAGTGGTGGTGGTGGAATTGGTGGCTGTGGTGAAGGTGGAGGAACTGCTCGTTGAGATGGAGCTCGAAGCCAGAGGTATCGTAGGCTTAGTGGCAATGGTGATGGGAGCCAGTGGCGCTCTGGCCTGCCCCTGCCCCTCCCCCGCTTCAGGAATTGGAGCAGAAAGCGGTCTCTTCGGGGGGAGCAAGGGTTGCTTGTATGGATGTTCTCGGGGAGGCAACTCCGACACTGGCCGTCTCTCCGCCATCTCTGCTCATGTCAAAAAAAAATCCATACAGTAAAACTCACAAATCGTAAATACACAGTCACTTTACAGTGTATCCTGTGAAGCGCTTTGAGACGTTTCGAAGAGTGATAAGGCGCTATATCAAAGGCCAGGATTATTATTATTATTATCATTTCTTACCTCTGATTCTTCTGGGCTCCTCCACAGTGACAGCCTTCGGGAGGTTTAGTCTTTTCTCGGGCTCGGCTTCCACCTCCACTGGGGGTTTGGAAACGCTGTTTCTCTTCTCGCCTTCAGCCGTGGACTTCACATCCTCTGAGACGGGCAGGTTGCCCACTGGTACCGTGTGCCCGTTCTTCAACGCGCTGTTCTGGGTGGTGATGTCACCATCTGCAGCACAAAAGAACCGTGCGTGACCCCCAAAACCCCGGCACTGATTGAATCAGATCGCTCTATTCAATACACAGTGAATTCACTTTGCAGTATATTCTGTGAAGCGCTTTGAGAGGTCTCGCAGGCGTCATAAGGTGTGATATCAAATGCAAGGATTATTATTACATTACTACTAGTTCCACCGCCGAAACCCAACCAGAGCCCCGGAAAATCAGAGGTAAGAAATATTGATATTTCTCCCACAAAATACTACACTTTGTAATATGTTTTGTAAAGCATTTGAAACGTCTCAACGATGCGACAAGACCCTATATCAAATGCAAGGATTATTATTATTACTTTCCACACAAAGGGACAGCGGAGATTACTGGGGTCAGGGAGGGGGGTGGGGGAGGAATGGGGGCTGGGGGGGCGCAGCACTGATGGGCAGAACAAAACAACTAAACAACAAGAAAGATACTTTTCACAACGCAAATTAGACCCCAGCGTTTTCCCTCATCCCACTATCAGTGACCAAGCTGTCATCTGGGACTCTCTTCTTCCACTGCTTCTTCGACCGTGCTTTTGATCACCCTGCTTTCCCCCACTGCTTCCACCCTCTCCAATCCCGACCATCAGCGAGGGTCCCAACTCTGCCCAGCGCCTTGAGACATCCTCCTGACGTTAAAGGCGCTATGCAAATGTAATTTTGTTGTTGTTATTGCCTCTCTGCCTGGTGTCACATCAAAACCTGCTGAACACACGTTTCTTTGACGCTCCTTGGTCAAACATCTTTAAACCTATTTGTTTCCCTGCTCGGTGCAAAATGCTGTACTTGTGAAGCGCTTTGATACGTTCTTTTCTCAAACTGGTGAGGACACTTGTGTAGACTGTGTACATGGCTCAGTCCTCTCTCAGCAGGCGAACCAGACGCAAACGAATCAGCTCGCTTTCGCTCAGAAGAACTAAAACCAGAGATGTGACTACCGGCTCATGGATAAACTGGTCTGGAGCTGGTTTACGCAAGGATCTATTATATAGCTCCATGGTGTAAACCATGCGCAAACGTGTATGTACAGAAGGAATTACAGGTGCCCTTTAATGATGGAATGAAGGACCCTTCCCATTGTCTAATTAAAGAATTCCCTCTGTCCATATCTGTTTGCACATGATTTGCGCACGGCATACACCAGAGAAAGCATTTATCGTGCAACAATGGGTCATTTACACCTTAATGTGACAAACAGCCTTAATCAACACCCCGTGTTGCAAACGCAAAACAGCCTCTGAATTGATTTAATCCGCCAACTAATTAGTTCAGAAACGATTCGAAAGCCAAGAGATAGAAATTCTGAGTGCAAAGTTCAGGCCAGAGACCTGAACCCAAAGAGTTTCTTTTCCATTGCTTAGATAATGGAATTCCCACGTCAGGGACAGGCTCTCTACCCTGGACGCTGTGTGTTCAAAGACATGCGTGTTGCAGTCGTGTTCAATATGGCAAAAATTTCAGCTAAGGCTAAGTTACTGTGTTACTGTCCTGCACTACTTCAGCATGGAAACAAACAGCGATAAAATTGAACTGTCCAAAAGTACACAAACAAAACTAATGACGTCCCAGACTGTAATAAATAAAATCTCTGTACAGTGTTGTCTGCACAGGTTCAGCACTTCAACCGGTCTCAGTCACGCACAGGCAGGCGCAGACAAGATAGGGAATCAAAGTCAGACCGGGCTGGGCTGGCAGTGATGGGGTTAAAATCACTTCCAGGGAAATGTCTGTGCTCAAGAAATGGCACATTGACCCATAGCCCTCAGCGAAAGGACAGTCAGAATTGCCAAGCAAGCTGGAGTTAAGCAGGAAACGTGCAGAGTGAGATTGCTCAGGTATTTGGGAGAATGCCTAGATCTTTACTGACTGACTATATTCTTGTGGATCACAATCAAAGCCTAACCCGAATCAAAATCGCTCTCCATACTGTGCACACGTCATACTCACCCTGTTCAGGGATCTCTTTCAACACTCCCTTCTTAATCAGTTCAGCTCTGCTTTGCCTCACAGATAACTTCCTGTCCAAAACTGGAATTATAAAGAGACGTCTGTGAGCACGAACCAAGAATAGTTTCAGAAACTCATCTCCACAATCTCCTTGGGGTAACAACATGAAACACAAATCAGGACTTGGGTCACCAGCAACGGAACTAGCTGCGAATGCTTTCAACGTGATTAAACATTTAAGCTTCAAGAGATGTCTGCTCAGTTAAGTGGGGTAAATTACATATTCAGGCCATCTCTTCTCACAAGTCAAACCCGTTATAATAGCACTTGAATCCTCAGAAATTGGCCAAATGAGCTCTTGAACCACTCTCCCCTAAGACTGTAACTCTCACAACAACAACTTGCATTCGTAAAAAGGCTCCTTTCAAAGGACTCAAAGAGTCTGTCGAATGAGCATGGAGCACAGAGCATGGAGCCAGCAAAGGAAGGTGTTGACAAGATGTAGGGTAAAGAGGGTTCTGAAGTCAGGGAGGGAAGGCACAAGGCGAAGAAGGGATTTTGTGAGAATTCCAGAGAGCCGAGGTGAAGATTTGGCCAACCGCTGGCAGAGCAAGTTACCAGCAGCAGATTGAAGTCAAGAACAGCAGCATAGGACCACAGAGAGGAACTGAAGGTCGCAACGGGAATCCTGGAAGTCGATCTGCTGGGAAACTAATGGAGCATGGAAAGGATAGGGGTATACTGAGTGAACGATATCTAAACACTTCCAACACTGTATCGACCTCAGAAACCGCTCAAGACAATCTGCCACTCTGGCGAAACTTCACAAGTCTTACCCCCTTAGAAGTTCGATAGCTTTATCGATAGCTTGATGAATTTACCTCAACACACCTGCAGGTGCTAGCACATGGCACCTGTTGTAGCCCCGGTCGAGAAATCTGGTGCCCTAAGTTTGCCTATAGCTGTCTCATATATATGTCTCAAGGCCCTCCTCTTCGACCTTGCATATCTCCACCTTCCCTGGCCTCCACCACTCCTGATCCCAACCCCCAGCTCAGGTGCAAATCCTTGAAGGTCTAGCGCTTTGCGATATCCTCCCAACGTGAAAGGCTCTAAGTAAATGTATTTTTTTGTTGTTATAGCCAGAGCGACCCCTGATGGATCTCGTTCGCAAAATAAAGCAAGCGGAGCAGTCTACACCACACGGCTTTAGATTGAGCTTCTGTCTGAGTAAGTGAAACACGTACCGGCGATCCAGGTATCAGTGAGCATATCAGCAATAATCATAATCTGTGTCCCTCTTTTTTTTTCTCTCTCTCATGCCCTCGTCCTGATGTTAGGAAGTACTGTATTTCAATACTTGAGATTTCTGCCACAAAAGATCAATGGCATTTCCAGCTGAGTTTCACACAAGACCTGACTCCAGAACCTCAGCTCAGAGTCAATGTGTTTGTTTTGTCCACAAAATACAGTCAATCCTCTTTACAATATAATAATAATAATCCTTGCATTTGATATGGAGTCCTGTAGCTCAGTGGTTAGAGCACTCGCTTTGCAAGTGAGAGACCTGAGTTCAATTCCAGACAGGGCGAGACCTTGGGCAAGTTTCCTTACTCCACACAGAACCTAATAATAATCCCTCCAAAAAAACCAAAAACAATAATTAAATTAGTCATTTTCAATCTACGACTGTTTGTGGGACATTGCTGTGCGCAATTGGCTGCCGCGTTCGCCCACAAATACAGTCAATTCACTTTACAGTGTGTTCTGTGAAGCGCTTTGGGACGTCCTCCTGACGTGAAAAGCGCTATATCAAATGCAAGGATTATTATTATTATTATTATATAGCGCTTTTCACGGCGGGAGGACGTCCCAAAGCGCTTCACAGAACACACTGTAAAGTGAATTGACAGTATATTTGTGGGCGAACGCGGCAGCCAATTGCGCACAGCAATGTCCCACAAACAGTGGTAGATTGAAAATGACCAATTTGTTATTGTTTTGGGTTTTGGAGGGATTATTATTAGGCTCTGTGTGGAGTAAGGAAACTTGCCCAAGGTTTCGCCCTCTGCCTGGAATTGAACTCAGGTCTCTCGCTTGCAAAGCGAGTGCTCTAACCACTAAGCTACAGGACTGTGAAGCGCCTTGAAACGTCTCAACAACGTGATAAGGCACTATATCAAATCCAAGAATTAGTATTATTATTATAATATCATCACAGTGCTAATGGAGTACTGGCTGCATTGTCAGAGCTGCTGGGAGTGATACTAAACTGCCTGTTCCATAAAAATCATACAATTATACAGCACAGAAGGAGACCATTCGGGCCATCGTGTCTGTACCACCTCTTTGAAAAGAGTTGTCCAATTCAATCCCACTACCCCGCTCTCTCCTGAATATCCTGGACATTAAAGGACCCGCGATACTATTAAAAAAAGAAGTTTCTCTCGACCAACACTCCTCCAGATAATCTTTCATTCACTTCACAGCCTTGGGTGGGACCACGCTGCTAGCAAAATGGATGCCACGTTTGGCCGTAATAAAAGTCACCGCAACTTATCAATGACTGTAAAGCTTTTTGAGATGTTTGATGGGACTCAAAACGCTCAAAGCTTTTCGGCTGCAAATAACCCTGCACTCTGGTGACTGCAATTTCTGGGTGCGTCCAGCAGGCGCTGGGGGGAGTGGGTGGGCACTGTGCGTGGTGCTATCGGACAGGAACGGTCTGCAGGGCAACGATTATGTCGGGATCTGAAGAGCTGAAGCAAAGGAGAAACTTGACCTGCCCTCAATCCTGCCTAATAATCCCACGGAAGCATGCGAGTCTGCATTCTGCTGATAACCATCGCCGCAGCCTGGATGCCAAGTATCTTTCAGTCAGGGTTTGCATATAAACAAAGGTGAAAATGGAGTTGCAGTAAGTAATGAGAGTGGATAGTTTGCAATCCGCACTCAGCCCATATTTTGTTTTCACAACCCACCTGAAGCTCGAAATTCCACCTCAACTCAGCCCATGTGACCGTTCTGTCTTTTTTTAAAAAAAACGCGTGGAAAATATTCATAAGTTCAGTCCCAGTTTGGAAACCGGTTTTCCGCAGCTCTTTAAAAAGCAAAACTGCCTTTCAGAGAACTTAAGGCGAAACCTTAGGCAAGTTTGCTTGCTGCACATGTCTCTGTTTACTAGCAGTAAGTAGGAACTCAGTTGTTAGTCAATGGTGCTATCCAGGGGTAATAATCCCTTCCAAAAAAACTACTACTACTAATAATAATTTGATCATTTAATCCACGACTGTTTGTGAGACACTGCTGCTGCGTTTCACCGACAAAATATACAGTCAATCCATTTTACAGTATATTCTGTGAAGTGCTTCGAGACATCTCAGTGACTTGATAAGGCGCTATATCAAATGCAAGGTTATTATTATTAGTATAAAACTGCAATGCTGTGACAGGCAGACCGCAGACCTGACAGAGTTAGTGAAACATTTGTATAAAAACGTAGGTGTTCACTATGCTATTTGCCTGTCACATTTCACCAACAAGGCACGGTCACTACACTTTACACTGGTTCCCTGTGAAGCGCTTTTGAGATGTTACAAAGGTGATGGCGCTGTATCAGACGCCAGCATTAGTATTTATACTCAGCGAGGAAAGAGTGTAAAAAGATCCATCAATCAAGCGGAGCACAATGCCGAGCAGTTGCAGTGGTTCAATGTCTAAAACTTGGAGATTTAATGAGTTGGGAGCCTGATCTATCTTTTCTCCGTGACCCTTTTCTAACTCCAGAAACATATCCGATTCCCTTCAAACACTGCGTTCTTGGCCTTAATAGCCACCTATAGCAAAGCGCTCAGTGTAAATCCATTACTGGAGAGACTCAGTACCACCCCATCAACACTGGAAACTAAACCCCTTTAATTAAAAGATAGTTAGCCAAAGTTATACTCCTGTAAAACCTGCGAGAGACAGTCAGTAAAATAGAGGCCCAAAAGAAGGAGCAAAAGTTCACTTTAGATTTGATATGGGCTGTTCTATACCCTGCTTCCTGCTCAAGACAAACAGCAACGCCCAGATCCGGTTGATTTATAAGCCCAATTTCAAGTTTCCCAAACAATTTAAAGCTTGCTCATCACAACATGTTTATCTGGACCTAAATCACAGGAACTGTACCAAATACACTGTGTACAAGCAGCCTGGTATCAGAGAAATGAATGATTGCACAGGATGCCACTTAGCTTGTGCTGGTGCTAGCTACTAACTGAAGCTATTTACTGTATCCCAACTCACCTGCTCTTTCCCCCTTTTATATGTTCCTCTTCAACTACGGATTAATTTGTTTGTAAATGATGTGCGTCTTAACTACCGCAGCCACTTTCGGCGAATCTTTTTCTGCGTGCAAAGTGTCTTCTAAACTCCCTTCAACTCTTCCAGTGATAAACCCTTGTTACCCATTCAAGCCTGTATTGTTAAGTGTCTTGTCTAAAGTACAATTTAGATTTTGCTTGAACACTGACTTGCCATGCCACTTTGTGCACTTGACACCAGACTATCCAGACACACTTTTCTCAACAAGAGTCTGCACTTGTAAAACAATCCCTCACAATGGATCGAAGTGCCTCACAAAGACCACGGTGGAGATCAATCGCCGAGCAGGAGAGGAATTTGAGGACGTTAACCAAAGAATCGGCCAAAGTCGATTTAAAGAGGGTTTTGAAAGCTTGTTGTTGGGTTACTGCTAAGTGCTTGCATGGACGAAGATTCTCAGTCACTGAGATGCTCTAGAATTAAAGCAGGCAGTCACTCTCGAGGGTAGATGAGGTGTGGTCCACCACCGGATATCTTATGTTGAAAAAGTGGGCTTGGTGGACCAAACAGCTCCTTTACCTTCTTAACCCTCCAGCACCAAGGTCATTTCTTGTGATGTTATCCTTAATCTTCCAGTGTAGAAAATTCTTAAATCCAGTCTTAGTTTGGAAGTCGATTTCCTTTTCAAGAATTTGGGGAAATCTACCGCATTTTCCACATTTCTGCCCAATATTAAATTTGAAGGCAATGAGCTTAAGGCCGAGACCCTGAGAATTTCAGGCCTTTGGAGCGCAAGGGATGAAAGCTCTCAAATGGAAGCGTTAATTCTGTATAGAGAAACATATTCCAAAATGCCTGGCAACCCAAAACTTCACTGTGGTGATCGATTTGCTGACGGCAGTGCTGCCCGCAATGAAAGTGGCATCTGGGATACGACGTGCAGGTTGTGAGAAACAAGTCCATGTTCACACTGAGGGCTAAATAATAACACATAACATGGGAACCCGTGGCCGACTTACCTGTTTGCTGTGAGAGCGAGCAGCAGGTTAGCGAGGCCTGACCAGGTTGCAATAAACAACTCTGACCTGGCAACAGCCGCTTAGCACATCGTGACACTGCACCCTTATCCCTTCTCGCACGAACCAATGCAGCACCCCCACCCCATTCCCACCCCCAGCCCCTATAACCCACTAACACCAATTCGCTGAAACGTTCTGTGAAATCTCACCTCCTCTTTACACAGCGAGCAGGGGGAACAGGAACGTCTAACACCTTAGATAGTGGGGACCTGAGGCAGCAACTGCAGAAAAGTCACTGTGAGAAACCAAGTAGTCCCCATTATTATTCCACCAAAGTCCGTCACTGTCCTCTAAGGGTCCTTTGAACTGAAAGCTTAAATTGGCGAGATTCTTATATCAAATTGTTCGATCAAATGGTCCACAGACTAGTCCCCTCCCACTCTCTCCCTCCACACCCCACCCGCTACTCACCCGCAGAGGCTTCTTTGAATTTTTCGCTGCTTTTCTTTTTCCGCCACTTCCATGGTTTGAATATTTTCCCAAATCCGGGAAACTTCCCCTTCCTCCGGGACGGAGGGGTGGACGAGCTGGAGACATTGTCGGAGACCACTGGCGGAAGCTGTTCCTCCTCCTCAGCTGGAGAGGGTGGCGTGGGGGTCGCAGGGGGGAGAAAGAAAGAAAATAACAAATTAACGCACATTAGAGGGGCGGTGGAGAAACGATCTCTGCAGCAAATGGCCGATTAGATCCGTGCAGAACTGCAGCTCTCTCCAAACTCTCTTCAGAAGCAATGGTGTACCGTAGCGTAGTGGTTTGTGCAAACATGGTGTACCGTAGCGTAGTGGTTAGCGCTCTCGCCACGCAAGCGAGAGGATCTGGGTTCCATTCCCGGGTGTGGTGAAACCATGGGCAAGTTTCCTTACTCCACGCGCCTCGATTTAGCTAGCAGTAAGTGGGAACCCGGCTGCTTTCTGAGGTAATAATCCCTTCAACAAAAAAATGCGGTCACTCAATCCACGACTGTTTGTGGGATGCTGTTGTGTGCAATTACCTGCCGTGTTTTACTCACAAAATGTACAAGTCAACCCCCTTTACAATATAGTATGTGTAACGCCTTGAGACATCTCAACAACATGATAAGGCCCATATTAAATGCAAAGATTGTTATTATAAGATTACTATCCTGGGGCGACATGGGAACTGGCTTCGTTTAGCACTGCAGCCCTGGAATTTCCCATGATCGTAGCCTCACTCCTCAGGGCGCTGAGGCCCTCATACATGCATTCATCACCTCAAGGCTCGACTACCGAAACTCCCTCCTTGTCAGCCTCCCCAGCTCTTCCCTCCACAAGCTGTGGATCATCCAGAATTCTGCAACTCGTGTCCTCTTCCGCACCAGGCTCCGAGACTCCATCACCCCCACCCTCGCCCGGCTCCACTGGCTCCCCATCCTTACCTCTACCAACCTGTCCGCTCCCTCTGTTCAGTAGGCTCCACTTGCTTGATGTCTCCCGCCCGACCCACCCTACCATTGGTGACCGAGCTTTCAGCCTCTCCCCACCCTTTGGAACTCCATCCCACAATCCTTTTGCCTCGCTCCCTCTCTTACCTCCTTCAAGGCATGATTCAAGACCATCCTTTTCGACCTTGCTTTCAGCCGCCCTCCTCCCTCTCTACCCTCCCTCATCCCCATCTTGCCCCACCACCCTCAGGCCCTGATCCCCAACTGTTCAGCTCCTTGGGCCGTCCTCCCGACGTGAAAGATGCTTCACAAATGTAATTTTGTGGTTGTTGACTTAAAATAATAGTAATCATTGCATTTGATAAAACGCCTTATCATGTCTTCAAGGTGTCCCAAAGCTCTTCACAGAATATACTGTAAAGTGAATTAACTATAGTTTGTGGTTGAAACTCGGCAGCCAATTGTACACAGCAGTGACGCACAAACAGTCGTGGGTTGAAGTGACCAATTTTTTTTTCAGGAATTATTACCCCCGTAAAAGTGATCCGCCAATCGACTAACTCACTCGCATTCCTACTCACTGCTAGGTATACAGAGGCGTGTGGAGTAAGGAAACTTGCCGAACATTTCGCCCAGTTGGGAATCGAATCCAGGTCTCTCGCTTGCGAGGCAAGTGCTCTAACCACTGAGCTGCAGGACCCCAAAATCCTAAACTTGTGCATAATATTTTTGGGAGGATGGGATTGGGGGTTAAGAGTCTTCAATTCTAAGTTCTTAAACTTCTTCTGCAGTTCTTAAAAGGAACCATCTTCCAAATAAAGCCTGGATTTTCAAACTTCTCTGTGTGATGTCTCGCATCTCAGGTGTCAGAGGCTTCCAAACAAAGTCTGTACTTGGAAACTCGCTGACAACTCGCACACACAAACAGGCGGAAAGAAAAAGCGACTCTCTTATCTGCTGACTCCTCATGCTTGGCTCTCAACCAAAAAAGAATAATTCTATACCTGGAATGACGAGAGATCTAAAGCTACACAGTCACAGGTAAAGATCACAGAAAGTTACTGTAGCTCAGAAAAACGCCATTCGGCCCATCAGGTCTACACAAGTGCTCATCCCTACTTGAACCACACAATTTAATCCCACTTACTCCTACGCACTTTAATATTCTTTTGTCAAGCATCTATTTACTTCCCCTTTTTAAAAAAAAAAGAATTTAAAGACTCCCCCACATTCATGGTTTGTGGAAGTGAATTCAACATTCCTGCCACCCTCAATGTAGACTTTTTCACCCTTTAATTATTTTATTCATTATAAAGTGTTTCAAGACCCTTCTATTCGACTGTGCCTTTGGTCACTCTCATATCCCAACTGTCCCTATCCTCCACCCCTCCTGATGCCAATCCCCAGCTTGGGTGCAAATCCTTGCCTGTCCAGCACCTTGGGATGACCTTCTGATGCGAAAGGTGCCGCGTAAATGTAATTTGTTGGTGTAGTTGTTTCACACATGTTCCGCTAATAACTGAACCCCCCCCACACTCTTCCTCCCGCCAATCCGTAAGGGAAATAAACAGCTTGGATCAATTGATTTCACACTTCAAAGTACAGTAGAGATCTGTTATAATGCTGAGTTGTTGTGGTTCCGAGACGTTACCCCATGTGTAGGGGGGTGCTAGAGAAATACAAGTTGTTACTGCTATTTACACTGCAATCTCTCCCCCCCCCCCGACATTTTATCCAGAAAAAGCAACACAAACCCGGCCTACACCCGTGCTTCAAAATAAGTCACGTAACCAAGCAACATCACAATATGGCAGCGTTGACTGGCGATCGCGCCTGTTACTGGGGCTGGTTGGAAATTTATGAACTCTATTTCCCCCCCGAATCCGCAACTATAGGGCTTAAAACACTACTCTCCACCCCCAGTCCACCCCGCCTCCATGGAAGGATGTTATGCAGTAGGTAACAACAATTCAGTGCCAAAAACAGAATGCAATCAAGCACTTCTAAGCAAAGCAAAATACACTCAGTGGTGTTGGGTTTCGTAACAGGGTATTTTGGCAATAATGCTAGCGTTAGCTCCATGCCAGGCTCATGGCACCTCCTCCTCCAAACAGAGAAACCCAACACAACATGGTTGAAAATGGCTGCATCCCAACAAGAAGCTGGCTCATGGATCCAAGGAGTGAGTCACTCACACCACACCCAGGTCTCATACACAGTGAAGGAATCGCAGGAATGTCTCTCACACACAAACTTCCTTTCGCTCCCCCCAGCCCACACCAACACTCACAAACTTCCCCAAAGCTGTGCCTGCTCAATAAGAAACAAGTTGGAAGAAATGTAAGGCTTCCTCAGGCTCTCTCGGTCAGTCAGTGGATCCACAGCACAAACCACAAGCATTTCATTCACTGTGGGGTTTTTTTTGGTCAGCTGGGTGTCTGACACACGTGGAAACCCATCACCATGTTTAAGTGCAACCAAACCGAACTGAGAATTCCATGCATCCTGCCTCGTCATGGAAATTCCAACGACAGGTTGTTGCAATGCAATGCGCACTCTCTCCCTGGAGGGAAGGCATCATCCTGCTTATCTAATTCCAGAACGTAGTAGGCGCCGCTTGGCCAGAGCCAAGGTTTGGGGACGCCAGAGTGTGAGTTGGGGGTAACTGAAACTGTGTAGCTTGCCGCTGATAGCACTCAAGACGTGAAGGCTCACAGGAATGTCAGCTCAATGCTGCCCGTACTCTGTCCGACTTCCACCAGCTCTTGCTGGCAAGAGTCAACGGGCACCATTTCCACCGGGTCTCAACCAGCGACGACAGACCATTTGTTGTGGACAAACTGGCTGCTGAGTTTGCCTACAAACACACAGTCACGACTCTTTACATTAAAATCCTGCGAAGGGCTTTGACACGTCTCGAGGCCATGATAAAGTACTGTATCGTTTAAACTGCGGAAACATAGCTTCAAAAAGGTCTGCAATTAAGAATTTTCTAAAATTACTTCTGACGATATTTTAAGCCTTAAAAGCTGAGGCTATGAGAAATCTCGAGGCTCCGATCTCAAACGCAGGAACTTGTGCTAAACTTGTGCTGCCAAAGACTGTAATTAAAAGCAATGAACACTTTGAATGAATTTACTTTGCAGTTCCAGGTTCCCCAAAATATTAACACAGGCCCCCTTACTCCTCGGAGAGGGACATACTTTCAATCACCTTATAAAAAAAAGAAACATTCCAATGTTTTCAGGACAAGGTCATGGTATGTGCCATCGGCCTCAGTTGGTAGCACTTTCGCCTCCGGGGTTAGTAGAGTGTGGGTTCATGTCCCACAAGGAGACTTTTCACAGTCTAAGCTGATGCTCCAGAGCAGTGCTGGGCGGAAGGAGGGGGGGAAACTCTGCATTATCGGAGGTGCAGAAGCCTTCCTGAACAGAGGGAAGCCATTACCCCTGTCTGTGCTTGTTCGGGTGGTCGTTAAAGATAGTAATAATAATAATCCTTGCATTTGATATAGCACCTTATCATTTCTTCAAGATGTCTCAAAGCGCTTTAAGGTTATAAGTTAAAGTGAATTGACTGTATATTTTGGGGGCAGATCTCCCGCGGCCCTACTGGTAAAAAGAAGGGAGTTTCTCCCTGTGGCCTGACCAACAAATGTCCAGATAAGTTGTCCATTCACCTCATGGCTGGGCATAGGACCTTGCCGTGGGCACACTGGCTGCCGGGTTTTCCTACAGCAAAACCCCTGCGAGGATGTTTGAGACATTATCGGTGCAGTATCACGTAACGAAGATTATTCTTGTAACAAATCCAACCCAACCCAGTTCCTGCACCAGCAAGGAAACGGCTGCCCTCTCAGCCCTTCCTTCCAGCAAGCTGGGAAATTCTGCCCAGCAGCTCGCTCGTGCCTAGGTTAGAGACGTCACACCGCAAACAAGGCTGGCACAAGGCAAAAAAACACACAAAAGCCCCGATTAACTATTCAAGACTGCGAGCCGAAGATTCCTCTACCTCTGTTCGTTCCGCAGGCGAGTTAAATTTTAAAACTCTCTGGCGGCCCTTCGGCAATCGATCTTCACTTTTACGAGGAACTTGTCTAATTAAAAAGGAGTCAATCCAACCCCCACAACCCCCCCACCCTCGGGCAGTCACTGCTGCCGGCAATCCGTCCTGG